CACGCACACGCTCGCACGCACGCACGCCTCCTATCATGTGTGCGTGTGTGTGTGTGCTGTTGAAGTGCTTTTAAAGTGTTCCTTTTTGTGTGTGTGCGTGCGTGTGTTTGGACTTTCGATTTTTCTGTGGCTCGTCTTCAACTTATTGTTGTTGCTTGACTGCCTGTCGCTCTGTCCAACTGTCTGTTTGTCTGTTTGTCTGTCTGTTTGTCTGTATGTTTGTATGCATATGTAGGCATATAACGGTTTCTGGCATGTCCCTTTTTCCAAGCGCGCATATGCCCTGTATATGTAAGGCAATGCCAACAAACAGGCCGACGTCTGCGCTGCCACAAAACTCAACTCAACACGGCCGAGCAAAGCAGAACAGAACAGAACAGAACAGAGCAGAGCAGAGCAGAGCAGAGGAGAGCAGAGGAGAGCAGAGGAGAGCAGAGCGAAGCGGAATGGTGCGGTGGGCTGCGGCGCGGGACGAAGTGGAGTGGAGTGGAGCGAAGCAGAACACAACACAATTCAACTTAACTCAACTCAACTCGAAAAATAGCAGCGAAAGCCGAACAGTCGCGCACGCTGCAGTATTACGAGGAATGCGCGGTAGGGGTAGATGGGCAGGGGGTTGGGCAGGCAGGTCGCTGCGAGTCAAAGTCAGTCACTCAGTCAGTCAGTCAGTCAGTCAGTCAGTCAGTCAGTCAGTTAGGCTGGCAGCGCTGGCGCCTCGCTAACTGGCTAAGCCAAGGCAGCACACACACATACAGACACACACACATACGGAAAGGGAGAGAGAGAGTGAGAGAGGCAGAAACCCTACACCAGACGGCCCCTACGCCTCTGGCAACCCAACACGCGCGTGTGCCATATCGCGTTTCGTGCTGTGCGCAAAAAAGAGCCGAACGACAAACGAAAACGACGAAAGGCGAACAGGCGCTGAAAAAGGAAAAGGAAAAGCAAAAGGCAAAGGCAAAGGCAAAGGCGCTGGCACAGGGACAGCACAGCTACAGCTACAGGGACAGGGACAGGGACATAGCTGCCAGCTGAGGACGAGGGCGAGGACGTGCCTGGCTGGGCAGGCAAAATTGCCTGACTGCCTCTGCCTCTGCCTGACTGCCTCTGCCTCTGCCGTTGCCGTTGCTTCGCCTACTTTCTGTTCTCTGACAGCCAACGAATATTGTGCAACGCTTTTGAAGTTGTTTGCTTGTCTAGCGCCGCAACAACGACAACAGCCGCAACAACAACAACAACGACAAGAACAAGAACCGCAACATGCGCTTGCATTAAGCGCTTTTTTGCCTGCAGCACAAAAGTATGCAACAGAAATTTTATAAATGCGCTCAAAAGCTCAACGGTTTTTGTTGCTGCATTTCAATAAATCCTAGCTCTCTACCCTGTATATGTATGTATGCCAGCTACATTATTGCATGTGCTGTGTGTGTGTGTGAGTGGTTTTATATTTTTTTTTTATTTTATTGGGGCGACACTCTGTCGACACGCGCATATATGTATATAGTTATATATATGTATATGTATATATGTATGCAGCCAAAGTCAATAAAGTTAATGACAGTTTCTAATGAGTAAATAGTCGACTCTTCGCCGCGTAAAGCATGCTGCTGGCTTCCTTTTTACCTATTTTTTAAAACATGCTCCCTTTATATAACGACAATCGCAGTCAAAGCAATCGGGAAACCAAATGGCCGCAAATGGTTTTTTAATAAAATTGCTGCATACTTGTGGGCGCTGACGGAAAATCAAATTGTGCTTGAGAAAGCTTCAAAGCAAATTAAAGTTGAATAGAAAACACGACTCAACAGAGCCAAATAGTCCGCTCTCTTTCTCTCGCACCCGAGCAACTGCACAAATGTCTCTGTCTGGACAAAAGGCACAGGCGAAATTTCCCTTTTCTGTTGGCAAGTCGAACAACGTTTGTGTATGTGCATCTGTGTGTGTGTGCGTGTGCGTGCGTGTGTGAGTGAGTTCATTTATTTGCCAGCGACTTTTGGGCGCTTAAAAATATGTAGAACCAACAACAACAACGTCTCAAAGGTTACACAGTTCGCCCGCTGCCAGCAGAGCGGCTGCCATGTGCGTGTGCCCATTTCCTTCGTCTATTGTCACAAACTTGATTGTTGCTATTCAATTGGTTTTCTTGTTCAGCTGCTCCTGCTGCTGCTGCTGGTGATTTTGTTGCTGGTGATTTTGTTGCTGGCTGTGCTTAATTTACATAACGTAAATGCGGCATAAATAAATTATTAAATACGTGCTGTGACAATGGATTGAATGTGCACAGAATGCCGAAAAGATACACGACACGATACAACACACTTGCCCGCCAACACACACACACACACACACACACGCACACACACGCAAATAGAAATGTTCGTCCATGTTTGTTGCCCAAACAAATCCCAAAATGTATGCAATAGTTTTCCGTGGCGTGTGCCATTATCCCATTTCTCTCTGATTGCCCCGCAAATTTCGATTCCGTAACGATTTTACCAAATCGCGCGCACATTATTTGTGTATAAAATATATGCACAATACATATGTATAAATGTGTGTATAAATGTATGTTTCGATTATTCATTCCCGAAATTATCCTATCAAAATTTCAAGCTTCTATTAGCCAAATTAGAACAATTGTTTATAGTAACATTTTTTTTAAATCTCTAGAACCTTCTTTTCTCACAGCTATCAAATGGATTGGAATCGGAAAGTGCAGAATGACATTATTTAGTTTTCAATATTTTCCTTATCTAAAAAGGAATAGGAAATGGGAAAATGCAGAACAGAGCTGTATATAGTACAGTATTATTTAGGTTTAAGCTCTAGAAGATTCTCATATTTAAATTCTGGATACTTTTCACAGGCAACTCGCCTAATTTCGATATATAGAGAAGTACATTCATTGTTCTCAATCCAAATTGTGTTCCCTCTAGCTCTAGAAATGTGGAATATATCGATTTTACCGATTTGCCACGCTTCCAGTGGGTACAGTCATATAAGCTTAACACTTAATACGGCTATATATTCCAAGAAGAAATACACACAGACGAACACTGCAAAAATATATTCTTTCCAACTTGCGGGTAAAATATATAAAGTGCAGCTGTTATTTGAAAAGGCCGTTTAATTGAGTATAGATTAAATTTCATTTAATGCATGTATGTACATACATATGTGTATGTATTGTTGAACTGGAAAATATTGCAGCTGACCAAGTGAAGTGGCCAGTTGATGGCAATGCAATTAAATGCAATGTAGAGCGGATCAGCGGGTCATAATGATTTGTGATAATAGCTGTGCTATTTTTATAGGGCATAACTTATAATGGGCCGTTGGTTGCGGCTGCCAGAATGGTTAAGGCTCAGCCAGACTGGTGCCAAATGTTTCAACTTCGGCCAGTGTGGTTGTTGTTCCGTGCCGTTCTTCAGCTGCGGCGAGTTGCGGCGAGAGCTGGCCACCAATTTGATGACCTAAAAATAGCATTAGAAGTCAAGTCACTAAGGCATGCGGCGAACGACGCCGACAGCGACAGCGACGGCGACGGCGAAGGCGACGGCAAAGTAGCACAACAAAAGTTGTGTTGACAACGGGCGAATGGGCGAACGGACGGGCTGCACAGGCTGGGAGGTGTGCGGTGTTTTGGGGGGTTTGTCTTGTGCGCCTATCAAACGAGCGGCGCAGGCCACACACGAGAGCGTGGCGAGAGCGCGTATCCTGCTCTACAGCGAATTCGTTATCGCGGCAAAAACAAAAAAAAAAAGAAAAGAACGACAGCGAGCAATTGCTGCAGCCTTTTTCGGTTGCGCTTACGGCAGAGCATGGCGTTTGGCCAGTGGGAGGGGGGGACTGAGGGGTGTGCACTTTGCCGTTGGGTTGACGTCTGCACAGTTAACGGCTTTTGTTAGTTTATTGTTGGGTTTTTGCGTTTTCGTTTTGCTGCAGCTGTGCAAAATAGAAAACAACACTTGAAAATACTTATTTGAAAGCAGAAGTTATAAAATTTTTCGCCGAGTTAAATGAATAGTGAAAGCTACTGCTCACTCTCTCATTCTCTCTCTCTCTGTCTCTCTCTGTCTCGCTCTCTCTTACTTGCGCTCTGACTTGCCCTGTAAGCGTCGCTCCCTGACTTTGATTTGGTTTTGGCTGTGGTTTTTCACGTGCGCGCGAAAGTATGCTACAATAATCTGCTTGACGCTCCAAAGTTGCATAAACATAAACAAACAGCGCTGCTCAAAAGACAAATATTTTTTTTCTGTGACTTGAATTATTATTTTTTTTTAAAAGTGATTTGTGCTTTATGTGCCCCATCCCTAACACACACGCTTTAGTGTAATAAGCGTCGAAATCAATTCCAATAATGCTTAGAAGTTAAATGCAAACTATATATACATATATATGACTAACTAACTAAAAGAGCAACTGAGAAACGAATTTAAAATTGTTCAAAACAACAAGCAACAACAGCAGCGCCAGCGCCAGCAGCAGCAAGACCAACTACAATAACAACAATTGCGACAACAACAATCAATCAATCGATAGCATTCACAAATCATGCAAACAAATAGAACAACAATAAGTTAAATCAACTGAAAACCAAGCCACATCAAGCACAAATACCAATGCGCCGGCAATAGCTCACACAGACACACACACACGCATACAGACTTATACACTCACACACACACATTCGAAGCACGCACATGAACGTCTTTTTTATTGTTTTTTTTTCTTGTGCTTCTTCTACGGCAACGTCTACGGCTACGGCAACGGCTCCTGTTACGGCCAGGACTACGATTGTTAGACATTTTTGGCCTGCTTGCCACATTCACACACACACACACATTCATCTACATATATATATTCATATTCATGTTGCTGTCGCAGGCGACGCTGGCTAAAATTTTCAATTTGCAAACAGCGCTGGGAACCAACAAAATATAAGCAAGAAAATAATATATATATATATATAAATAAATAAAGAAAAAAATTAAAAACAAACAGAATCAACAACAACAAAAAAAAACAGCGCGTTCGCATCGCCCAAATACAAAAGAAAACAAAAATAAAAATTTAAAAGAAAAACACAAAATTATACGAAAACGCGCCGCGTCGTCGTCAGCCTGCAGATCCATTAGTGCCGCCATTTGTGTTTGTGGATGCATTTGCATGTGTAGGCAACAACAACAACAACCGCAGCAACAGCAACAACAACCACAACCACAACAACAGCAACAGCAACAGCAACTGCAACACCAAAACCAAAACCAGCAACAACAATAGTAACCACCATAACAGCAGCAACATTTGTGGCAACTTATTGCACAACAGCAACAACACAGCAGCAACAACACAGCAACACAGCAACAGCAACAGCAACAACAACAATAGCAGCAGCAGCAATAGCAACAACAAAGGCACAACATCGATTGACATCGATTAACGGTAAGTGCGCCTATATAAAATATATATATGAATATAGAGGGAGAGCTAAGTAAAGTAACGCAGCGAAGTTGCGTCTTGAAGTTGCCACAATTTGTTGCAAGCGCAGCTAATTGCTAACCCTGATTATGTCACTAATGAGCCAAGCAATTGAAAGCGCTAAGACACTTGGAAAACACTTGCTGCCACACACATACACACACTCGGACACACACACACATACTACTCTCTTTTTGTTTCATTTTTTTTGCCTGTGTGTGTGTGTGAGTGTGTGTTGGCCCACTGCACAACCTTTTGGTGGCTTTTGGAGGGCAAACTTGAGGCACAGCAGGCTGGCAACCAAAACGGGCGCCACCGAGCGTCAAGTTTCGTTAAGAAACATACCAAAAAAAACACAAAGAAACGAAAAAAAAAAAAAAAGCAGAAAAGTAATTGTATCTTCGAGATACAAGATTGTACAATGGCATGGGCAAGGCGGCGAGCACGGGCAAGAGCGGCGGCATCAAGCAGGATACACAGGCGCAGGCGCTCTCTCAATAATTCTAACCCACTCGCTCTCCCGCTCGCCCGCTCTCCTGCTCTCCTGCTTTCCCGCTCGCCTGCTCGCCTGCTCTCTCGCTGCCTTGCCTTAGCCTTGCTCTGCATATGTATATGTAAAATTCATTGACTAACAACATGCGAAAAGCGTGTGCGTGTGCGTGTATCTCTGTGTGTGAGCGTGTTTGTGTGTGTGTCTTGCTTTTTTTCGTTTGAATAAAGTTGGTTTCTGTGTCTGAATTAGTTAATCAATTTGTGCAATTAATGTTGTTGCACATTTCATTAATTGTGCATACAAATATGTAAATGCATTTTTATAGCATGCTTTTCTGCGCCACATGGCCACGTGCATGTGTGTGCGTCTCTGTGTGTGTGTATTGCGGCTTGAGCTTTGTCGCAAATTAGCTCGAGCTTTATTTGCTTTGAATTCTAATTTCAGACTATTCACATTATGTGAATGCCGAGCATGGAATTTGTTTCATTCAAACGAATACATATGTACATAAGTTCATGTAAGCTCGTGTGTATGTGTATGTGTGTGTGTGTTTTGCGTATATAAAAACACGTCGAAATATCGAACTGACCTACTTTTGTGCTCAATACACACACACACTCGCTTCAATTTATATATATTTATATAGATGTTTATATATAAACATGTGTGCTTGTGTGTGTGTGTGTGTGTGTGTCCATGTTTCGCCGCTGCGACTACGCCAAAAAGGCAGCCCACACACACACACACACACACACATATTGCCAGTGGGCAAGAGTGCTTTGACCTTAGCGGAGGCTTCTTACATAAGCCGAAAGCACAATCGAAACCGAAACCGAAAACGAAATTCGAGCCCGTTCGAGCGTAATGAAAATTCCACAAATTTTCGGATTTACAGCTATTTACATACATATGCTGCAGTTTACGTAATTTACGCCCATTTTATGCAATTTAAACAACGAGATAACATTTATAGTCGGAATCGATTGAAAATGCGTAAAAGGCTTTTTATGTTTTTGTGCATATGCATGTAACGCGAGAAGAAAAAAAATAGGAAAAGGAGTCAAAGCCTTTCAAGTAAGGAAAATATATATTATTTCCCTAAAGGACGACGAACTAACTATGACTAGCCATGTCTGTCTGTCTGTCAGCCAAAAGACTTTCAATTCGATATATTATCTGTGCTATCAGTCATTTTCAAAATAAATCGATAAATATCGATTTTGAGACAAGAATTTTTAAGGCATATCTCGGAGATTTTAAGACGTTGACGAACTAAGTCTATCTAGCCAAGTGCGTCTGTCTAAAGACTCTTAATTTCATATATTATCTGTTCTCATTTTCAAAATATATCGATAAATATCGATTTTGAGACTTGATTTTTTAGGCATATCTCGGGGATTGTAAGAGGTCGACGAACTAAGTCTATCTAGCCAAGTCCATCTGTCTAAAGACTTTTAATTTCGGATATTCTTCTATAACATATGCGAATATCTGTTCTCATTTTCAAAATATATCGATAAATATCGATTTTAAGACATGATTTTTAAGGCATATCTCGGAGATTTTAAGAGGTCGACGAACTAGGTCTATCTAGCCAAGTCTGTCTGTCTGTCTAAAGACTTTTAATTTCATATATTATCTGTTCTCATTTTCAAAATATATCGATAAATATCGATTTTGAGACATGAGGAGGTCGACGAACTAAGTCTATCTAGCCAAGTTTGTCTGTCTAAAGACTTTTAATTTCATATATTATCTGTTCTCATTTTCAAAATATATCGATATATATCGATTTGAGACATGAAAAATAAACATGATAAAATTTTTAGGCATATCTCGGAGATTGTAAGAGGTCGACGAACTAAGTCTATCTAGCCAAGTCCATCTGTCTAAAGACTTTTAATTTCGGATATTCTTCTATACCATATGCGGATATCTGTTCTCATTTTCAAAATATATCGATAAATATCGATTAAGTATATTTCACTTTAAGGATAGCTCCTGCCATTTCCTGCACAATTGCTAGAACTTGGGCCTTGATACAGGCACACATCCGATGCCATATTCTAGTCCTGAAAGTTGCATTGAGGTCGAAATATCAATACAGAAGTTAATTTGCCATCGGCTGGGCGAAGGGTAGAAGGGAAGAAAAAACACAAAGTTTCTGCATAAAGTGCACAGCTTGGGGCAACTAAGTTGGTCAATAGGAAGCCGAACTAAAGCCTGAACCGAACCATACAAACTTTTCTTTTTTTTTTTATTTATATATATTTTATTTATATTTCTACTGATATGCTTAGTTCTATACGTTTTATAACATTTACTAGCTGCGATAAGAGAACATTTGTAAATACTTTTTATTAGCTGCTTTGTTCGATTTCAAGATGAGAAATAATGTCATGAAATTAAGATTTAAACAACATCATGAAATTCAAGAAAAACTCTTGTTGTTCTTGTTTAAGGCTCGAAGCAACTCTTTGCCTTCAAATTCAGTTTAGTTAGTCATGTATTTTCAATATTTTTCTAAAGCTGTATTCTATTTTGAAATCACAATTGCCCGTTCCACCGAAAATATTGCCAGCATTAAATATTTTCCCACGGAAATTGCGGGCTAAATTAGATCTTTGCCCAATGCGCTGATCGGGGCCAAAGTTGTTTATGCTTTGGAGCTGAGTCTATATGAAAAGTTTTGAATAAACTTTAGCTAGTTTGGATTTAGTAAGTAATATATAAGTATTCCCGGTTCGAACCGGTTCGCTTCACAACAGGCTTGCAGCCTTGATTTGAACCATTGTCTGGTTCTATGAATGCGAAAAGCCAGGTTCGAACTGTGAGACGAACCGCCGGCTTTTTTGAAAAAATCCAAGTATTTATCATTTTTGAGCTGAAAAATTAACCAATATTTAATATATACGAGTCGATAAATTTTCTTGTTAACTTTTAACTAGATATTCATACGATAATATTCATAGCTGTTAGCTTGACTTCATTTTGGCCAAGTTAAAAGTACTAAAAATATTTGAAAATTGACAAAATTCTACAAGAAAGTATTCAAATACATTTTTATACAATAAAATGGCGTTTGTTTAAAGGTTGCTATAATTTAAGTATTTTGTGTTTAATAAATATAATAATTCCAATAAGAATAAGTTTTAGTAAGCTCTTTAGTATAAATATGATAAGTATGATTAAACAAACCGGAGAGATGCCAAAGTTGGTTATGTTTGTCTAAAATAAAAAGCCAACAAACTAAAAGGCATAAATCAACGGGTTAGTTTTGTGTATAGCGAAGTCAAGAACCTTCCAGCAGAAGCTTTAACTTGTTGGGAATTGCAAGCGTGACGCAGCGAAAGAAAAGCAAAGCGCGCTAGCTAAAGTACTTTTACAACGTGTATAGCACTCAATTCTAAAGTCCAGGACAATGCAAACATAATTAACAAATATTAAAGTTCACGTTTAACTGCTCAGAAAACGGTTAAGGATAAAATAGAAAGGGACAACAACAAATTTCTCGCTGTGTACGTTATACAGCTGGCCAATTAGGAGCAGCGATTGTATTTATTGATTGAGAATTGTTGTCGCTGCGGATTATTATTTTTATTTCTCTCATTTGATTGGAATGCACTTAATGCGAATTGTCACCTTCACTAATCCAATTAGCCAACTGATTCGTTGGCTTTATCCAAGCGAATGGGTTCAATGTGCTCGCCGAGCTGTTCCACATTTATAGTATATGTGTGTATATACATATAGATTATGTGTAAATCTACTAATAACTTCTTTTATTTTTATGTAATTACAGCATCGTGCTAAGCGGCGGGCGCTACTCGAACATGGCGCCTCGGATATAGTTGTAGCTTTAATGTAGCAGGCGACATCCATGTGCCTCATGTGAGTACCGAGCCTGCATTGGGCCCCAAAAGGCCAACTGAATCTAATCATAATCGTTGTATGTGTGTGCGTGTGTGTGACTTTACAGGCCTTGGAAATCTAAGGCTCTCATCGTTGGCCGCATAGACAATGACAGAAGATTCCGACTCGATATCTGAGGAAGAACGCAGTTTGTTCCGTCCCTTTACCCGCGAATCATTGGTGCAAATTGAACAACGCATTGCCGCTGAACATGAAAAGCAAAAGGAGCTGGAAAGAAAGAGAGCCGAGGGAGAGGTGGTAATTATTTCTAGCTGAATGTTGTCTAAACTACCTATATATATACATATATGAGTATAATATATATGTGGCTATTCTGTGTATTTTCCTATCTAAACTGCTATCCGTATATCTATCTATCTATATATAACTATAACCATAACTATAACTGTAACTGTAAACTATGACTCCATTTTCCATTTTCAATTTAACATTTAACATATACAAAAAAAAAAAACGCTACTATGCGCTTTTGTTCGTGCTTCAACGTCTATTGAATATGTATTTTAAATAACTAACCCCAGTCCAATATATCTGTACCCATACTATATATCTAATACTCCAACTTAGTGCTAATATTAACTGCTACTAACCTACTCGTTAACCCAATGCCAAGTACAAATTCTTGTAAAGATATAAACAGAAGAGTTCCCCAACTTCAACAAAATTATTCCTTCTATTAAGGAGTACTTTGCACCCTGAACATGTTTCGGTTCTACCTTCTAACTTCCCCAATTTTGAACCATGTTTCGAAATGTTTTTACATACAACAAAAATAAACAACTCTTGCTTTCCCACTCTTCATATCATTTACAAAATGCTTCAATGCTTTATCGAGCACACACATTCATTCAATACCCATCGATCCCTGCTGCTGTTAACCGTGTATCATAAATCTTTAACATTACATACATAACATTAATCTTTAACATTTGTATATAAATGTATTTTGTATCAAACTCCATGTTCTCACATCTCGCTGCTTCGAACCGTATAATAGTATTAACTATCTATCCCTTGAAAGTTATTTACCTCCATGGACCCAACATAAATGTTTGTAACTCTCTCTCTATCTCTGTATCTCTGTATCTCTCTCTCTCTCTCTCTCTGCACACTCTTGTATCTTCTTGTATCGTCTACTTAAGTCAAATTATAGTTTTCCCTTGCTGCTTAAGAAACTTTGATTTTCCTTTTTCTTTTACCTTAGTTCCGAACTAGAAGACATTGTGTGTAATTTCCCCCTCCCTTTTTTTTTTTTTTACATCGATTTGGGTTTTGTCTTGAACTCTTTTGTGCTACGATTTGAAGTCTGTGTCGGTTAATTTCTTATTATGATTTGAACAAAATTCAAAAACAATTCAACAAAATAAATGTATTGTTCTATTATTTTGGTCGTTGTCGTATTATGTATGTATTTTTGTATTATATCTCACAATTTCCCAATTCGTAACTATGCGTACCCAAAAACCGTATTATTATCCATACTTAAGAAAAAAATGAAAAGCGATTCCTGTCATAATCGTTGTACGTTTGTTTGTTTGTTCGTTAGTTTGTTTGTTTCATTGTTTTACGAATATTGAGAGTAAGAAATGTGTATTCCAACTATTGGCCTCGTAATGTGTTTTAATCGTGTATATACCTATATTGTTATTAACTATATCGATTATCATTTTGATATGTATGTGTATTTTATTATGCAAATTTGTTTATTGTGTCTAAGGCAAAAAGTTGTTTAGTTCCATTTTGGTTTACGTTTCCGTTAAGCTCAGTTCTATGATTTCCACTTCCTTGTGCTCCTGTGTGTGGCACACTCACAAAAGCCACGATCGCCTCGTTGTGTAAATACATATACTAAAAGTTCAAGTCCAAGTTAAACCATTAAACACCACACCAGCTCCTGTGCCAGTACCAGTAGCAGTACCCGACCATATACTTACCATCAGACCCATCAGCCATTGTCAGTCACGAACTTGTGTATTCTTGTAGCTGCGACTCATTATATAGACTATAATCGTATTTAACAATCAATCAAATTATATTTACAAACAAGAAATCATAATCAATAATAATAATAAATATAACTAGTTTTGTAGTAGAAATTACAAGGTAGTCTTCAAGACTTGACATACAGATAACAGTACAGGCAGCCATTCAAAAGCTGCATGCTACAAAATCGACGCACAGTGTTGCATCTCGCTACTTGTACAGCAATTAACTCAGCTAAACTGAAAACTAGCGTAGTTTAAGCGCTCTGCCTTTCTCTCTTTCTTAAACTCTTGCTCTCTCTCAATTTGTACAAAAGTAGACACTCGAAATTACATAATTTGTAGAAGTCTTCAAGACTTGACATACAGATAACAGTACAGGCAGCCATTCAAAAGCTGCATGCTACAATATCAACGCACAGTGTTGCATTTCGCTACTTGTACAGCAATTAACTCTGCCTTTCTCTCTCTCTCTTAAACTCTTGCTCTCTTTCAACTTGTACAAAAGTAGACACTCGAAATTACATAAGACATTTCATAACACATGTGTTTGTGTGTATTATTCAGTAACAAATCTCACTTTCAGGCTCAAACTCATCTGCAACTGTTCAACACATATGCTGTCCGCTGCGCTCTCGCTCTGTCTCACTTCTAATCTATTTATCTGTTCAACTGTCTCTCTCTCTCTCTCGCTCATTGTCACTCTGTTCTTCGATCAGTCTCTCAGCTCAAATGCAACTCTGTTGCGCTTTTACACAAACACACACAAAATATCAGAGCTAGAATACCTTGTATAGAGCGTAAATAGGAACCATTAAAGAGTTTATCAAAACTAAATCGAATTATTAAAAAAACCTTACGTATAATATCTTGCAGAATGCTAACCGTTTCACATACATAAAAGTATATATATATATTTTTTCTATTTTTTTTTTTTTTTCGTATACTTTTTTCTTTTTATTTACAACTTTTTCTCTACTTTAAATGCTCCCAACGAAACTTTTGCGCGCTGCTGTCTGGAAAACGAAATAATATCGAATAAAAAATAATAAATAACAATAATAATACGCAATAAATAATTAAAATATAAAAACTATTAACAATTTGGCGCTTGCATTTCGCTAAAAACCCAACAAACATTTTCCAATTCTTCTACCCCAACTTTTACATTATGCCCGAAAAAAAAAACAAAAAACAAAACAAATCTGCGAATGTCCTAAACCAAAACCCAAATCCAAATCTTCTTTCAGCCGCAATATGGTCGCAAGAAAAAACAAAAAGAAGTAAGATTTCCACAGAACTTTTAGTCTAAACACACAAAAAAAAAAAACAACAAACAAACGAATAACTTACCTCCCTTAACTGCCAAGCACACACACCAAATGACCAAAACTCAACAAAAATTTTCCGAAAATACAAAAAAAAACCAAAAAAAAAAACAAGCCACAAAATAATAAAGCTTTTGATTTGTTTTGCGTTTTATTTGGAACTTTATTGCCAAAAATTTTGTTAGTTCTTAGCAGCATATCTTTTGTGTTCTTATGTAATTGCTTCAAACTTTATTCGTATATGTATTCGTATTCGTATTCGTATTCGTATTCGTATTCGTATTCGCATTCGTATTCGCATTCGTATATATTGGTATGCGTACTCTCTTAATTTGTATAAATCCCTGTAAAAATTAGTTGAATTTGGTGTCACACTTGCCGAGCTTCAATTATTTATCTTAACTATACATAACTATTGTGTATGTATCAACTTTTGCTTTTCCAATAACTCACCTAATTGTCTACTCGTAAATATGTACTGTACTGTGTATATATATATATATATATATATATATGTGTTTATATATAACTATATAGCCGAAAGTGCAGCTCCTTTTTAACTATGCAACTATGAATATATGTATAAAATTTTTCTTATCCCGCTCATATGATTTACTAAAGCTTACTTTATTTGCCACCTTGCTGAAGCTATGCTAAATGCAACTCTTCTCTCAATTCTGCCAAAAACGGTCTGGCAATATTTGTATATAGATCAGGTAGCGCTGAGTGCGGACAGTTTCAATTACACTATGCAACAGAGTTTTGCGTCGGTTGTCCACACAGATTTCCGATGCTCATTTATTTTCTGATTTTCAATTATCCCTTTTACTTTGAGAATAATTCTTGATGCTAAAATAGTTTATTATATCTTCAAATAGTCCATAAATGTTTTCTCAATATGTCTAAAGTCTATTGAAGGAATCAAAGTCATTCTGCAATAATTTGTTACGGCCATTTGTGATTTATTTCAATAATGCATTTTAGTCTTGCCCAAAGTTTTTCAGTTAATTTTATTGCTTTGTGGTCCGATAATTGTTGTTGCCCGCACTTTGTTGCACAGTGTTGAAACTTATCAGAGCCTCAAAGCTGTGCCTAGCTGGCGCTTTTATGGTTTCTTGGCAGCAGGCTACAGGCTCCAGGCTGCGGCTTGTGCCCATTTGCTTGAGTGCTGTTAATGCGCTTATAAGCAAAAGGACTCAAAGGACTCAAGGGATTTTCAGCCAAGTGGCATCAATAGACGCATATGTCCTGTGTGTGTGTGTGTGTGTGTGAGGGCTCACAATCAGTTGCCAACTTTTCGACTGTGTGAGAAAGTTTTTATGCAGCTCTCACTAAAATGTATATACAGATGATGTGCATGTGTGTGTGCATGTGTGTGTGTGTGTGTGACTGTGTTCATTTAGCCTTGTAGAGGTTATTGTATTTATGTCAAGAAACGCGTAAAGGAGACTTCAACGAATCAATTAAGTATATATGTAGATGCTGAAGCGTAGCCAGGTCTGTCTGTTTCTATGCAACTTTTGCAACTTTTGCTGTGGGTAGTACGTAGTCGGGGGGATAGGATCCCTATATCATATAGCTCTCATAGTTATGATCGGTCGAAACTTTTGTTCTTACTGGAAAAAGTTTATTGTTGTTCAAGATTTTCGCAACCTAACTAGTTTTACTATGCTTTTCATATATGAATTCGATCAATATCGGATTACTAAGTATATTATGCAGGAATAGGAACAATCGATAGATGAATGAGATTTTGTAAGGAAAAGTTTTCTGTTTTTCAAACTTAGCATTTAGGTTACCAGAAGGGTATTTAATTTTCGGCGTGCCGAAGAATCTTCTTATTCCACAATTTTGTGATTGAGTCTCAGTTGTGCGTGTGTTAATTGTTGTTGTGCCAGGCGAAATATGTGTGTGTGTGTGAGCCTTAGCTTAGCATATAGGGCTCAACAGTGAGTACCCTTAACAGTGAGTACCCTTAACAGTGAGTACCCTTAACAGTAGCCTAGGTTCAGTTTCTTTTGACCATACTATGCAGATGTCTGAGGATTTACACGTGCGCGCAATTGCAAAATTTGTACGAAAAGAAAGAGTATACAAAATTTAGCATTGCCGCCCAGCCAAGCCAAACAAATCATTAACGGCATAATGCTCGTATTATACCATATACTATATATATACTATAAAAAAAAAAAAAATACAAATCAAACTGCCATGACTTGTGACTCATCGTGCCAGTGCCGTGGCCCTAATGCCTGTAAGTGGGTAAATGGAACTGAGAAGTAAGTGCCCAAGTCAGCGACTATGACAACAACAACAGCAACAACAACAACAACAACAACAACAACAACAACATTAGCCACAGCAACATACATATATAATAATTATAATATACACAAACTTCGGCATTTGAAACGAAGTTAATGCGCAGCTTTTGACCAGGTTTAACTCATATGTGTACATACTTTTGGTATACCCTGTAAATAGGCAAGCTGGTAGTATGCTACTTAAGCGCAGGCAAGCTAGACTCTGAAAATTTTAAACCAAAATAAAAGTAAAATCGCTGGCTCAGCACGCACTTCGAACCAGCTTCCTGCCATTAAATGAAACAATTCGATTTTCACTTAACATTTGCCCGTTCCACTGAAAATATTGCTTGTCATATATTAACATATTTTCATACAGAATTTGCGGGCTAAATTCGAGCTCTAGCCCAAAATGGCGTCTATCAAATATGTTTAGATAAACGTCATTTTTGGGGCCCATTGTGGCTGGGTTACCCACAACTATTTTTAATGTCGAACCAAAACACTTGTGAAAGTAAAGTTAAAAAAGTTTTGGTTAAAAATGTAGTTTATGGTCTACAATAAGTGTTAGTTCCGTTCACGAACCAGTTCCGTTCCGTGAATCTATTCGTCTGATCTTTATTAAAGCTGGTGGTATATAGATATTCGGCTATCTTCTCTGTATGCTCAGGTACTATAATATATATATGTATGTATATTTGATCTACTTAAAATTGAAATGTTAAGGGGCTTATATTGTATTTTGTACTTTGTACTCGCTAGCTGCAGGGCATTAGCTAGTCGAGCAAGCTAGCTTCAAGTTGATGAGTTTTTTTTTCTTTCCTCAAGTGCCTAAGCTGCGCATTAAGAGCAGCTATTAATCGAGACAGAAAGTATTTAACAGGCAATTTGATTTAAGTTGTTTTTTTTTTTTTGTTTTAATTTGTAGCTGCTTGCTGTTATGACTACTCTGTATAAGTAAACTCTGCATAAGTACACATACTTAGATCAATGCTAAATGTAGCAAATAGACCCAATTCTGTGAGTGTGCGTGTGTGTGTGCGTGTGTGTGTACATCTTTGGCTCTGCATGTGGCATTGTATCGTGTTTCGATATATGTTTAATAAAGTTTAAGCGGTTCGATAAGAGACTATGTTACCTAATTTAATGTTTTAGGCGGTTTAATTAGTAGGCTTGGTTACCTAATTAATATATGTACATATATAAACTGCGCTCTAATATCGCAAATTAATAGTTTCCCATTAAGTGAGCGGCTTTTGCCATTATGTGGCAACGCCAAATAGTAAAGCTGCCAGCCTGTTAATACCTTGTGTCCATAATTTCAAAGCTCATAAAAAAAAAACTGGGCTTGCCCTGAAGCTCGCGGCTTTACGACATATTCAAAGTTAAATGAGCTCAACGTTTTGCATATATCACATTAAATTGTTCGCTTTTAGTTCAAATAAAAGTGCTTGGCCAGTGCTGCCACACACGTTCAATTTGTGAATATTGCGCCAGTGTTAAGTAACATAAATGAAGTTAAATCAGTTATAGTTACAGTCAGCATTTGAATTCCTGATACATTTATATTGTTTGTGCTCCAGTTTCTGGCATTGCATGCGTCATAAATTGTATATGTAAGTCGGCGGGAACAGACGTGTCCGGTTGAAACCGCCATATTGTCTGTCCGTCTGTCCGTCTGTCCATCTGTCAGTATGTTTATGTGTGTGTGTGTGAGGCCTGCGATGCGGCTTGCCTTTTATTAGTTTAAATATAGACTTGACTTGGCCTGTTTAAAAGGCAGCTGGCAGCTGGCAGCAGTTCTTCCGCAGTCCCCTTAGCCATAGTCATGACTGCGGCACTCAGGCTATATGGTCATGGCTCAAGCTCCTGCTTCATTCCTGGGCCCCATTCGTTGGCGCAATTGCGTCAACACACAAATACACACACACACACACACACTCACACACACATACAATCTAATTGTCACGCCAAGCAAACAAGCTAGCAAACCAACTATTATGGAATTTTTTTAAGCGCCGCTCTACTCATTGTATGTGTGTGTGTCGAACAATTCCATGACGGTGACGTTCGACTTTTTGCTTTACTTTTGCTTTTGGCATTGCATGTCCATGTCCATGTCCATGTCCATGGAAAGTAAAAACTAACTACAATGCTAGTTGTTTTATACATCGATACAAACTGTGTGTGCTTGTGTGTGTGTTTTCCTTGAAATCGATAGACGTACCGTGGCCCCAGCAATGGGACACAAATATTGTCCCCCATACAATATGCATGACAGCGCAATTAAAGTTGCCCAAAGCATACAAAAATAATCATCGTCATAATAAATATGAGAAAAATCGAAAGCAGCAAAAAAAAAACACACACACGATACCAGTTTTATTAGTATTGGAGCTGTCCAAGATTTTAGTCTAAACGTTGCCATGACGTGTCCTCTGTTGAGCGTGTGTGTGTGTGTGTGCCTGTGTGTGTGTCTCTGCACATGTAGTTAAATGTAAAAATTCCTATACTTAAGGCTTAGCACGTGCTTCGTTTTGATTACAGCTTAGTAGCCTTGTAAATACTTACACAACACTGGTTAAGCATTTCAGTATTGGAACTGTTCAAGATTTCTGTCTAATTGTTGTTACGTTTGCGTGAGGGTGTATGTGTTTGTGTGTGTGTGTGTATGTATATGTAGTTATACAAATATAAAGATTCCTAGAACTAAGCCTTAGCACGCGCACCTATTTAATTACTATTTACCAGCTTTGTATATACCTACACAACACTGGTTAAACGACACTGTTAAGCATGTTAATTTTGAACTTTCGCCTTCTGTTTAGATATGCTTTCAATTGTTTTCCAATATAGTCTACATTTATTTAACTATTCCTTTCTGATTTCTGAATTGTTGTATATAGAAGAGCTCATTTGAGATCTGTTATTGGATATTGGTCCAAATTGATTTTGGTTTTATCTTTTGCATAACAGCCTAGCCCAAACAAGATGTATTTGCTCTGACAAAACAATCTCTCGAAAAGCCTTCACTTCTGTCAAAAATTAATATGCATATTTAACTCTATTCTTGTACGAATCGTCACTCAATGTGCTATGCAAACTTTAAACCATAAACAAAATTTTCAAGAATTTCCAAAAATAATAAATATTTCAGTTATTGTTAATGCCTTTTGATTTGTGCTAGCCCATTAATGTGCCTATCTACTACTACTTACCACCTACAACTTGTTAACATAAATGGACAAACTGTAAATCTATATGCGTATATATATATACATATATACATATGTATATATTTCTATGTATATATGTGCGATATATGTTGAATCGTGTATAACGGTTATGCTAATATTTGTGTGCGCAATTCTTTGTTCTCTGTGTATTTGTGGAAATCGCCAAACGTGCTGAACGTACCGGGAACAACAGATCCGATATGATGACGAGGACGAGGATGAAGGTCCACAACCGGATCCTACACTTGAACAGGGTGTGCCAATACCTGTTCGATTGCAGGGCAGCTTCCCGCCGGAATTGGCCTCCACTCCTCTCGAGGATATCGATCCATACTACAGCAATATACTGGTGAGTGTTGTCAGATGCCAACTGAGAGCCCCCTTTCAAATTATCGCACTCAGCTAATCAATATTGATCTAATTGGATCGATTTACTAACCTTAATCGATTATATTCAAACCCAATTCCAATTGTGTATCTCGTTTTGCAGACATTCGTAGTTGTAAGCAAGGGAAAAGATATTTTTCGCTTTTCTGCATCAAAAGCAATGTGGCTGCTCGATCCATTCAATCCGATACGTCGTGTGGCCATTTACATTTTAGTGCATCCATTATTTTCGTTATTTATCATTACCACCATTCTCGTGAACTGCATATTGATGATAATGCCGACAACGCCCACGGTCGAGTCCACTGAGTAAGTACTGTCGATTAGCTAATTAGACTAGAATTAGCGAGATGGCCCAGCATCTACAATATGTCCGAGTATATAGTATTAACAACCAGTACATGCATACTATATATATACATATATATCATGTATATTCGTATTACTGGGTCTTACAGTTATTTACTTGCGATATACAAAACATATTTGGGCAACCCTTAGCTACAAATTGATTTGATTTATGTATATCCGTTTTGTTGTCTTTTTATTTTCTTCTTTCAACTAAGTTGATACCTTAAATAATTTACATATATGTATATGTAATTATATATATATATTTATATATGCTATATAATCGATATATTTATATTAAATGTAACATTTTCGATATTGATGCAGACGTGTATTTAGGTCAAAAATAAATTTCTTTCAACTATAATTTACAACCAGACAACGCCCAAAAAAACCAAAATAAGAAAAAGAAAACAAATGCAAAAAATTAATCGAACAAACAACAACAAACCAAAGTAATGATAACGATAACGATAACGATTACAATGAAAATATTAACTCACATTTTAAAGCGCCTGCAAGGTTAAGAACATTTCAAGTAATGCCCCAAGCCAGGAATTTGTACAAAAAATATCAAATTAGCGAGTTAAATGATATCGATTACTATTCGATTAAATTAAACATTGTGTAGTAGTTGGAAAGCTCATTGCTCTAAGCTCATTCGGCCAGCAGATCGTGCCAGATTCTCTGCGTGTCGTGCTCAACAGCTTTTGTATGCCGCTCAAAACCTGTTGAACGCTGGCCACCCTGTATTATATTCGATTGTACTTACATCACATCTGTTACAAAAGAAAACATTTGATTTTTCGATTAATCAAGTTAAAAAGAAAAACAGCAGCTAAAAAACAATATAAAGTTTAGACACATTTCGATGCCTCTCATTTTGTAAATTGCCGTAATCAAAACAAAAATATCGCATTTAGCACCTGGGCGCTCTTAACTCTTAAATATCGGATTGTAGTCAACCTAATCAAATACTTGTTACTAAATATGTAAATACCAAACATATTGTAACTAGCTATTCAACTGGCCAGCCAGCTGGTTTTGGTTTGTTCACGTTTTCGTATAACAAAATAATTAAAATATTCATCAAATTCAATTCGATCACATTTTGAATACAGTAAACAATTGAACAACTTTTTGGTAATCCATCCTTGACGTAGCCATAGTATCATAAGTAGTACAGCAAAACTAGCAACAATAAACATTAACTCTTAAGTAGCTTAAGTATGTAAGTAACGATAACAGCCCTTGTACCCGTATACGCAGTATATATCCCTTTGAATCGAAACCCTTAATCGTTTTACAACTATATATTTATCAGTATTATTAATAAGTAGTTATGTAGCATTACAGTCTAGTTCCATTTAATTGCGCCATATCATGCTGTTGAAGTAATTGCCAATTGTATATCGATATATTTACCGATAGATATGTATTCTATATGTACATTACTAGACCATCTATTCCGTATAATCTTAAATACTTAGCGCTTAATCGAAATTCTGTATAATTTCATTAACTATATATAGTAAGAAATCGGGGTTACAGCTACAATTGATCAAATCTGCAGGCACTGCAATAAGCAACGAATTTTTAGAATTCAATAGTTTCTAGTTAAATATAGATTGTAATTATTAGTTTCTCTATATATACATATATATATTTAGCAAAATCTCTCGTACATATACATAGTATAAATATATATTTCGCTCTAGAATATCTGCGTAGTTCCAAAACAAATCCGCCCCCTTAAACTCGCTCTCTCTCATTTATGTAAAGTGCTCAAATTTCAATCTAAAATTGTATTTCGATTTTCATAGTTGTGTATCAAAGTATAACAAAATAGCTAGAACAGCAGTTAGATACGAATCCATATAAAAAATGTACACTCAAAAAATTTGTCGTCCCCAATTCTAGAAAATCGCCAAAAAGAAATTGTTAATTATAATTTTCCAAACATTTAAATATAAATTTTAAGAAAAATCTTCTAATATATCGAAAATATTTCATTCCATTGTTTTTGGGCGATTTTCTGAAATCTGGAAACAAAATTTTGTTGAGTGTATGCTTCACTGTACGAAGTACATGTATTCTTAGCGGTAACTGTAAATAGCTCACGTACTCTCGTAATATAGTAACAAAAAGAAAAGAAAAAAAATGAAGAAAACGAGCAAAATGCTGAAAAAGCGCAAGAAGCGATTAAAGAAGCAATCAAAAGTGAAAAGAGTTACGTCATTTTTTTAGCTGATATCAAAATTTTTGTCGCAGATTTGGTATCAGAATTGAGTACCCTAACAAATAGCACAAATGTGTGTGTGTGTGTGGGTGTGTGTGTGTGTGTGGGTGTGCGGAAGTGCCACTTGAACTTGGAACGCATAAGAGATGCTGCTGCAATTGCAGCTCAGCTGCGACTCGGCTCGGCTCCATCTTCATCTTCATCTTCATCTTCATCTCCGGCTGCGTCTCCGTCTTCATTTCCGTCTCCGTTTCGGGGCCAAGTTTTCTGGTTTTTCGTGGACAACGGCGGCTGCGCTTAGCCCAAAATGGAATAGTTGCTGCCTCGCACAACAACACACACACACCATCACAAAAGAGAGCTTGAGTGTGAGTAAGAGAATAGAAAGAGGGAGAGAGAGAGAGAGAGAGAGAGAGCGCGCGCGTGTAAACTTTGTCTCTGTGCCTATCTAAGCAGTTGGCAGCCGCATCTATGTGGGTCGCCAGCTGAGCTGTGGCTGCACTTGTGGGCGCCCAGAAAGACATAATACCTGCAATTAAAACGCAACTCAAGTGTCCTTCGCAGGCATTGGGGCCTAGGTCAAACGCATGCTCAGCCCACAGACCAGAGACTTTGAACTAGTTGCAGCTGTGGGCGGGCCAGTCAGGGCGGGCAGCTGGACGCCTGACTGTCTGTCCGCCTGACTGTCTGTCCGCCCGACTGTCTGTCCGCCTTGTCACTTGCAAGCCGATTTAAATCTGTCAAATGACTAACCAAGACATAAAGACCCACACAGCTGCCTCAGCTGGAATTCAGGCCGAAGGTCGGCATATTGATCTGAACGCCCACATCAGAGCTCTAGCTGCAGCTGCAGTCGCATTAGCATCTGCATCGGCATCAAGCACACAATTAACAATTATTGACATTGACAATTGTCGTCTTTCTATCTGCATCTCAAGTGCTTGTTATTAACAATTGCGGCCGCCCTTTGATCTGCCAAATAGATTTCCAAACAATTTGTCTGCCTTTTATGCACACTTATTACAGTTCAAAATGCTGGGAGTCCAGCTTAAAGTCGAAACGGCATTTTATGTATTCAAGCACAAACTCAATGTTTGCAGGGCTAAGCTAAATTTAAGTTATATTTTTAAGCATAAATAAGTCAAGGCTATTAACCAACTTATGTTCAGAGCTTAGCGATACTCTCAGCAGAAATCTATTCTTATTTTTATATATACTTGTATTTTACTTTATTAACTACAATACCCTTGCAGCTAAATTTTGCGCCCAAAATGGGCATCGATTCAATTAAATACGTCTGGTATATTTAATGCCTAAAGATGTGACTGTACTGCAAAGTTATCGATAGTTTGCGTAAGATTATCGTTAGCACCAATCGATTGTGCTTTAAATATATTTTATTATTAATTTCAATAACTAAATATTTCAGAGATCCGATACACATTATTGCATTAATCGAAAAAAAAAACAAGATTAATCGATAAGTCAATAAATAATCGAAACATTTGCAGTTCGAATAACTGCCAGGGTATAACATATTCGGCATGCCGTTTATAGATTACGTTTCTTGGTTCATAAAATAACGAATTGTAAAGCTGTGAGGACCCAAAAGCAGACTTAAGATACTCGTATTTTACGATATACATTTTATTTGACTAGCCATGAAAAAAGAAAAAAAAAAAAATTTTTGTTGTAAAAAAAGGAGATGAAGAAACGAAAAACAAATTGCATTCGAAATTCAATTCGTTTTTAGGGTGATATTCACCGGAATCTACACATTTGAATCAGCTGTTAAAGTGATGGCACGAGGTTTCATTTTATGCCCGTTTACGTATCTTAGAGATGCATGGAATTGGCTGGACTTCGTAGTAATAGCTTTAGCGTGAGTTATATTATTAACTATTTATCAATTTACTAATTTATCAATCTCAATCAAAATGTTCACATATCTCTCACACATCTACTACTTATATATCATAATGCCATACTAAATCCATCTATGTTCGTATATGTACCATATCGTTTCTCGATTATCGACTATCGATTATCGCTTATCGTTTATCGCTTTTGGTTTTTGGGTTTTCTCTTCTGATTTCGTATCGTATCGTATTGTATCGTAATCGCCTTTTATACTATGCTAAATTAACTGTTATACACGCCAGTTAATTGTCATCCAGCCAGTCATTAAAGTTCTCCTACATTTCGATTTTGATTTTGCCTTTTTGTTAGCCATTTAATATATATACAAATGTAGTTAATACATATCGTATGTTAATTAACTAGCAGCCCATAAAAAAAAAAAAAAAAAACAAATATGTATATGTATTAAAAAAAAAAAAAACAAACAAACAACAAATTCACTGAATACGGTTAATATTCAATTTTTCTGTTCAATTATGCAAATTAGACATATTTATTGCGAACTACTTACAAATTTCTTCGGAAATGAAAATTGGATGTGTGCGTGTGTGTGTGGGTGTGTGTGGGTGCGTGTGTGTGTGTGGGTGTGCGTAATTGCTATTCATTAGCCACGGTTGGTTGGGCATTTAATTAAATAAATATATTTATTTTCTATTTAATCAACGAATATCGTGGCACAAAAACGGGCGCTGAATTGCACTTTTCATTTAAATTGCCCGCAGGCACACACACACACACACACACACACGAACACACACAAACATACATACATATACGCATGACAAAATGTCACGACAAGAACAACAACAAAAGCAATATCAGCAACCACAACATTAACAATAATAACACATATGGCAAAGGTAGCTGCTAAAATTACACATACGCCATGTGAGCCGTGGCGCAGCAGTTGAGAGCGAGCGTTTTTATTGATTTCTTTTCTGCTGTTACTAATGGCACACACACACACACACACACACACAGAGAGTTGGCTTTGCTATGATTATTTGCCATACCAGTTAACACACACACACACACACACACACACACCCACACACACCCACACAGAGCGAGCGAGTCATAAACTAATTTTTGGCTTTTTTATTTGCTCCTGCAAGATATTATTATTTCGTTTTTTTTTGTTTATTTTTTTCTTCTGCTCTCTTTTGTTTTCGTTTCGTGACAGTTTCGTTTCATTGCTTTTTGCTCCAATTTAACCATTTATTGGGCGCCCTCTGTCCGGGCTCCGGGCTCCGGGCTGAGCTGCGGAGGGCCACTTCGAGGTTGGCGCAACGCGTGGCCGGGCCATTCGTGCAGCGCATTTCGCTGGCGCCGCACAGACGCGCAGCCTTGGACACCCCGCCCCACCTCTCCGCCTCCCCGCCTCCCCACCTGCCCTACTAGCCCTCGTCGGCCCGCCAAACCGCACACATGGCGCACACGATTTACTCCACGCCAAGTTTAAAGCGCGCTTTTAGGCGCCGCCACACTTCGCGTCCGAACAAGGATTTTCGTTCTTGTCTCCTTTTTAAACTGTTCTTTATTCTTTCGAAAAAAGCTTGAATCAAGCAGAACTTGTGCTTTATTACAGAGAAGCTTTAAATGGCCTTGGCATGGGTATAAAAGCTCTTGAAAAAGTCATTTCATGTAATTTTATTTAAATCAAGCTTTAAAAGGTCCATAGGAATCAAAGTTTATTAAAGTTTGCAAATTCTTTAAACTTGGCTTGATTGGGACTTGCGAAAGGGAAAGGGAAATATAGATTAATCTTGTTTCAAGTTCAAACTGGGATTAAATTGCGTTAAGTTTTGTTGCCTTAAATTGAGTTTATTTCGTTCTTAGATGAATTCAAGTAGTTTCCTACTTAAAAGTCACAATGGAAACAAGAATCTTAAGCTTGAGTCTAGTTTAAACGGTAGTACTTAATTTCACTTGATTTAAGTTGGGAATTCTTGATTTTTTCCGGCTATGAGAGCTATAGAGAGTATGCATAGAACTGGGATAATAGAAGTACGCCATACAAAGATATATTTGCCGGGTAAACAGTTTAGAGGCCAGGCCAATTAGAAGCCAATTTACACGCCATGTACTTGCACACACACACACACACAAACACACACATACGGGAGCTTATGTAAAGGCGTGAGAGTGTGTGTGTGTAAGCTGTATCTATATGCATTCGAATCGATAAATATTCATGAAATATAAATGAAAGGTTGCTCTGGCTGCAGAAGTAACGTGAAATTCCCAAAGGATGACAGCATACAGCACGACAAGGCAAACAACTCAAGCAAATGGACATTACCAGGCCACACCGATACGTGGGCGTGTGTGTGTGTGTGTGTGTGTGTGTGCGACAGCTATTTTCATGGTACGCTTGTGTGCGTGCATAAATATTTTTATAGCAACACAGACACACAGAAACAGAACAGCAGGAGCTGCACCTGCCCCCAGGTGTAACCTGAACTTGGCTATCCACAGCTTGTGGCACATTCCCGTAATGAATCATTAACTTGAGGGGCTGCGCTAGAGGGGGGAGGGTCGGCGGGTGTTCACCAACTGGCCAAACCCATTTGTAACATACACTTTTATTCGCATACTCAATTTCAGCTTTCTCTCTAATGCACACACACATTTCACACATTCCAATTCATTTTCACAGACAGATATTTCTTCTTATTATTCTTCTTTGAAGTTTTCCTTTGGCTGAAATTACAAACTTAATTGCGCTGTTTAAGACAAATATGAGAACACACACACACACACACACACACACGCACAAACATGAAGCAAGCTAATTATACATTTGTAATTACTAACGACTGCAAACATAATCGTACCAATCTATTTTTACATAATTAGATCGATAGTATTAAATTTGTAATTACCAATACTTAATGACATCTCATGTATATGTATATTTGCTTCTGTCATCGTTAATATTAACAACAACAACAACTACTACAACGTTTGCCGATTGCAACAACAACAACAACAACAACAACATTGACCTTTACTTGGATCCAACACAGTTATGTGACCATGGGTATAGATTTAGGTAATCTTGCAGCCCTGAGAACGTTTAGGGTGCTACGTGCGCTAAAAACCGTAGCCATTGTTCCAGGTATGAACATAGCTTTGAATTTGCAAAAAAAACATAAACTGTTATATTGTTATACTGTTATACAAACCAGTTAGCCGAGAACTGTTATACATAACTGTTATACGAATTATATAAATACCATACTGATTCGATTATTCGATTATTGTTGATCATAAATAATAAAACCATTTATAGGCCTGAAAACCATTGTTGGCGCTGTCATTGAGTCGGTGAAAAATCTGCGCGATGTGATAATTTTGACAATGTTCTCGCTGTCAGTGTTCGCCCTGATGGGCCTCCAGATCTACATGGGCGTACTGACACAGAAATGCATTAAGAAATTCCCGCTTGATGGTTCCTGGGGCAATTTGACCGATGAGAACTGGGACTATCATAATCGGAATAGCTCCAATTGGTATTCCGAGGATGATGGTATATCGTTTCCATTATGTGGCAACATCTCCGGCGCTGGGTGAGTAGCTAACGCCGCGATACGGCTTATCGTGTTATCGACTTATCGATTTTCATCCATCGATTGCCCATCGATTGCAGTCAATGCGATGACGACTATGTGTGTCTGCAGGGGTTTGGACCGAATCCCAATTATGGTTACACCAGTTTCGATTCATTCGGTTGGGCATTTCTGTCCGCTTTCCGACTGATGACCCAGGACTTTTGGGAGGACCTGTATCAGCTGGTTCTCCGTGCCGCTGGACCCTGGCACATGCTGTTCTTTATAGTCATCATCTTCCTAGGTTCATTCTATCTTGTGAATTTGATTTTGGCCATTGTTGCCATGTCATATGACGAATTGCAAAAGAAGGCCGAAGAAGAGGAGGCTGCCGAAGAGGAGGCGATACGTGTAAGTAGAAACCCAGTAGAGACCTAAACGCCCAATGGACAAACAACCACATTAAAGCCACCTCAACAAAAATGGTAGATAATTTCAATCTCAATTACCAGTGAGCTGAATTGATCATTGAAAATATCTATTAAATACAACAAGAGTTGCTTTTTTCTTTTGTATATGTATGTATAAAGTCCAATTGTCTCTCGCTATATCTCTCTCTCTGTCTCTCTCTCTCTATATATATATATATATGTGTATATCAATCAATCGTACATCATAATGTATGATCACACTTTAGTGTCTCTTTCGAATGTACATACAGAGTGTACAATTGTGTAGCTGTAAAAAGAACACCTAACCACCAATGCATATATACATATATCTGTAATGCCCAACTAAATAACTACTTATATATCAACACATACATATGTATTGCTTTCCAAATTCCAGTAATATATATAATATATATACTATAATATATATAATCGTAACGTACTTATTTACCAAACTACTTGCATATATGTTATTGATTTAATTTTTAGTTGATTTTTTTCTGGTTTGTGTTTTTGTGTATCTTTGATCTCTTCGTGTAAAGCAAGTAAAATACTTCAATTTATTGATATGTCATGCCACAGATCTATGCCAAACTGGCCATATATTCTCTATTCTCTGCTCAACTCTTTTATATATGTATCAAAATATCTATATGGATATATATCTATATAAAATTCTTATTGTTTGTCAGTATTTTATTAAAAACGCACTTTTTTGTTGTTGTAAACTAATGCAAAATTCAACACCTGAAAGTAAAAAGCAATAAACAAAAGAAAAAATCAAGTACAATTACCTAGACGTATTAACATAAACAACATACTATATAAAAAATGAAGAAAATAAAACTAAAGTTCCCCATCAAAGTCCGATCCCAACCAAAAATAAACTCCCAAGCCACAGCACAGCACTTAAAATGTTTATACTTTTAATTTTATATATATACATATATATATATATGTGAATATTTGTAGAACTTGTCTTCTGTTTTTAAGCCACACAAATCCCAATTAAACTGAAATCCCAATTGCATGTACCATATACCATATGGCATAGAGCATATACGATGTGCCGATTGCGATTCGCGCCCCTTTCCAGATCAGCAAACAAAATTCTTTGTGCATATATCATTATAGGAGGCAGAGGAGGCGGCCGCTGCGAAGGCGGCTAAGCTGGAGGAGCGCGCCAATGCGCATGCACAGGCCGCCGCCGATGCCGCTGCCGCCGAAGAGGCGGCACTGCATCCCGAAATGGCCAAGAGTCCAACGTATTCGTGTATCAGTTACGAGCTGTTCGTTGGCGGTGAAAAGGGCAACGATGACAACAACAAGGAGAAGATGTCCATTCGTAGCGTCGAAGTGGAGTCGGAGTCGGTGAGCGTTATACAAAGACAACCAGCACCTACCACAGCACACCAAGCTACCAAAGTTCGTAAAGTGAGCACGGTAAGTATTCCGAGCGCAATAATTTTTTTTTGATTTATACTTTTTGTCTTTTTTTGTTTTCCGTTTTGTTGTCTTTAATTCTTGTTCTCGTTATTTGTTGTTGTACTTGTTTTTGGGATATATACTTATATATATGCTCTACTCTATATAAATATATACTTAACGAACTTGTCTTTGGTTTTCGATTTCGATTTCCATTTCGATTACTATTTCAAATTCGGTTTCGGTTTCGATTACAATTTCGATTTCGATTTCGATTTTCTCATATGCAGCTAAAAGGCCTGTCTACATCGTTTATCGTTTATCGTTTATTAGTTGCAATCAGTCTGGTATGCGTGATGTTCTATGATTTCTGTTATGTTCATAATATTTGCAAAATTATCGTTTATCGATTTCGATTGCCTTGATTACCATCTATCATTGTCCACTGATGCCAGAAGCTGTGCAAATATACATATACATATTTGCCAGCTTATTTTCTACTCTACTCGTTAATCGTGACGTCTCCTTTCTAACTGTGCTCTTGCACTCGTTTTGAGATTCGAGCGAGTAAATGTTTCTGTCTCGACTGCGTCGACGAGTACAGCATTCGCTGCTGCTCTTTGCTCTTGCAGCTACGAGTTAAGTTTTGTTTCGAGCTCAAGGATTGCCACGCATTATACTCGGTCAACACTGCCGCTACTCGCTACTCGCTGCGCGAGTAACGAGTACTTATTTTGCAGTTACTGTAACGATTAAATTACATTCACTTTAGTTGTTTGTGCGTTTTGGTTTATAAATTGCCACTGTTCAGTTTTGTTGTTGGAACGATCCTCCATATCGTGCTTAAGTATATATACATATATATAATAACCATCATAACTAGCGAATATTCCTTTGCAATCCATATAACGAGTAGTGCTAGTGCGTGTATGCGTGTATGTACAAATATTAGTTAATTAGCTGTAGTTTCATGTACCAAAAAACAATATCATGACATAATAAAAGCCAAATAATTGTAGTCTCGTTTTAACAAAGACTCGCTATGCCCCCCACTCTCTATCTCTCTCCCTCTCTCTCTCTGTCTATCTTTCTTATTCTCATCTTTGAGCCATATCTCTCTCTCTCTCTCTCAAACTCCATTTCATTGTATTAGCAAAAATTTGATTGTATTAGTGCATGCATTTTGTCATTGTGTATGTGGATGTGTGTATGTGTTTTAGTGAGTGTTCCTCCTTCTGCGAGTGTGTGTGTGTGTGTGTGTGCGTGTGTGTGTGAGTCGCAGGCAGTCTTTTGTTAAATGTTAACTCCATCATGATTTCAATGTGCTCGTAGTTAGCTGGCTCCTATTATTGGCATTTCGCATAATCATTTTGATTTGGATTTTTGATTGATTGATTTTCTGATTTAACGGGTATCTGTTTGGATTTGTCAAGTTTTTTGGTTTTCAGTTGAACTCATTGCTCGGAATGCTTTAGGTGACAACTTGATTGGAGCTCAAATACAAATACAAAAACACAATTTCAACGATGCTTACCTTTCATTACAATGCAAGCAATGTAAAACTGAGGACGACTACAATGCTAAACAAAAAAAGAAAAAAAACAATATCTAGCTTCACATGAGGCTAACGATTAAAGTGAAACAGCATAAAAAAAAAAAACATGCTTTAAGCCATTTACAACACTTCAAACACTTATCTGCTCACAATCAGTCGAAATTCTTAACTTACGATCGTGCTTGAACTATGCGTACATAATGCATATGTATATTTATATGCAACAAACTTGCGTAGGTCAGCTTGGGCTTTCCATAATTAATTCTGCAAACTGCCAACCACCATCCGTTTATGTTCTGTTCTTAATCATATAATTGATTTTGTTTGAGAAATAATCTTAATGATTTCAATGGCTGCATTATTATTTGCATGTGAACGTTGCTTTCATTTTCGTTAACTATTTACAATTATTATCAATATATATGCATATATATACTTATACCATAAAGGTATATTCTTACATAGCTGAAAAATAAAACTCAAAAATATGCGAAATACCTAAGTTTTACTTCAAAACAAACGAAAGACAAGTGCAGTTCGAATACAAAAAGTTTGAGTACAGTACGGCACAATGGCTACACTAGCACCGATTTCTAAGCATTGCCGTCGATAAATTCGATAACGATAACGATAAGCGCAGCGTTACGTTTTGCGATACCACCAACAACATGCTGCAGCATGTCGATAGCTCTGTCATTTTTACTCCCTCACATTTCTTTAACTACAATTACAAATTCTCAATTGTTATTTTTGCTTTGGCAAGCATATGCTTAGCGCACAGCGGCTGTGACACATTGGAACCCCAAGTTCTGGCACCTACAACATTGGGAGCTCTATTAGGCATATAAAAAGATACACACACACACACACACACACACACACACACAGACTAGAAGACAGCTGCAGCTGAGTGGCCAAGCAAGAACATTTGGTCAATATTATTTTTGATTTATTTTCATTTTATTGAAATGGAATTTTATGGCCTATACAAATACTGTTATACCAATATACGATTTGAATCAACGCAATTTAATTGAAAACAATTTCTTTGAAATATAACTCGAATTTGTACTCTCACTAAATACTATTGCTGTTTCGCATTCGCTGTCTCGCTCTCGCTCTCGCTCTCGCATTCTCGCTAGCTCGTTCTTACTGCCAAATTTAATTGCTCAGAGTTGCATTCCAAAAAAATATACTACTTACTTATATCATAATCGTAATCGCTCGCTCAGTTTTCAACTGTCTGAGCAACTCGAACTCAAGGTAGGCCCTGGGCCTCAGGTAGGTTTCTCTCTAATACTCTCACACTCTCTCTAGCTCTCGAATAAAAGAACTCTTTAAACACTTGAATCAGATTAAGAACAGAGCAAATTTAGCTGTTAGTTAAAATACTCAACTGTACTAGGCTGGGTGAAAGAAATACTTAACATGAACCAATACACAAACAAGTTTATATTTTGTTGAGTTTGAAATTTTGTGACTTTTGAGGAGGATGGCGGTTAGAAACCTTATGTAAAACCTACTTATATTTGATATTGTGGAATTTCGTTAAAGCATATTTCTTATGCATCCCCGTAAGAGTTGACAAGTACATTTGACTAAATGTTAAAAGCAGTAGCAATTACTTTTTGTTTGTTCATATTTTATTAGAATAACTTGTTAGTTTTTAGTCTGGAACTTTGAGTTTTGTTTTGAAATTCGTGGTAAAACTTGCTGGTACTTGAGCAAAATTCCGAGAAGTCAATTCATGTTTGAATTTTGTTGCTAAACAAATCAAATACTGTAAGTCGTACTTTAAAAAGTGCTGCCATTAATATGAACAACATTTTCCTTATGATTCGTGTATTTATTTATATTTTGTTGTTGGTATTTAACGCTGCGCTAAAGTAGATAAAATGCTCTAATCGCCGACTCACCAACCACACTTTATATAGTTAAATAATACTTAGTTATTATATTGTGCAGCCAAATTGCTGAGAATTGATTATTTTTTTAAGGGGCACACAACGAAAAACGAAAAACGAACAACATCAATTGAATTTATTTCGTAGAAATTAGCAAAGAAATGTATTCACACGAATGCATTCACACATTCATACACATATTTGTATACACAATGACAATTACTTCGAGTATATATTTTGCTTTCAAACTCTTTCAAACAGCGACAGCAAAAATTTGTATAAATTTAGCAGGAATAACTATATTTACATACATATATATATTTTATTTGATTCCATTTTTCTTTTTTCTTCTATTTATATTTTATTTGTAAAAAAAATAAAAAACAACTTAGACATCCTTATCCTTACCTGGTTCACCGTTTAACATACGCAGGGGATCACGTAGTTCTCACAAGGTAAGCGCCCAATACACACACACACAAACACACACACACACCCACAAACACCCACACACACACACTCACACACACATATCAACATACACAAAGCGTATTGTTTTCCTTGAATCAATGACAGCCAGTACAAACCAGAACAATAAGAACAATAACAAAAGCATCAAGAACTACAATCGCTTTAACCATTTCATATCATCTAGATAAAGGCTCAATACAACAGAGATATTTACTTTGCAATTACGAAATTCACTCTCTACCACACACACACACACACACAAAACACAGTTTTTGGGCCCAGAGACTTGTGGTTTAATGTACCTGTGCATATGTATATATGCGTGTGTGGCAACTCTGCGGCTGTGTATGTGTGTGTGTGAGATGTCCTGCACTCAACACACATGCTTACCGCAGTTGTACATATACAAATGCACGCACACACACACACTCACACTCGCACACACACACATCTTACTCATACGAAACTCATGGTAGTCAAACTTATATTGAAGTTTAATTCATGCATCAGGTATACATAGAATAGTAATTGAAATAAATCGACTTAGCTTTCACAGAGGCGCATACCATTTGTACTTAAATGATTATTATTGTTAAATTCTTGATACTGTTTTCGGTTGAATTTGTAATGTTTTTAGGTACTTAACATAATTAAAAGCTACAACTTATCTCTTGTCGTACATAAACATATCTCACCATTTTATAATATCATACCCCTTACATATATTCGTATTTTTGTCTATAACTATATACATACATACTTATTTTGTTTGTAAGATATATAATGAGTATACAAAATTATATTTTGTGATTTTGTCTTGTTTGATGTTTCTTGATCTACATATACCTCTACGTACGAGTTCTAAATACTGTACCAGCACTCTCGCTCTCTCTCTCTACCTCTCTCTGTCTCTCTATCTGTCTCACTCTCACACTCTGTCTCTGTCTCCGTCTGTCTCCTTTTCTTAAGATCTGTCATTCGGAATGCATTAACCTAAACCAATCAGTATTTGGTCTATCGGCCCGTTTGTGTGTATGCGTATGTGTGCGTGCGTAAGTGTTTGTGTGCGTGCGATGTGCGTGTATTGCCTATTCCATGTTTCATGAGAACTTAGTATATATTTATGTCTGTCATGCTCGAACTATGTATGTGTATGTATGTGCCCCTAATGTGTGTACAATTATCGTATGTCAATGTGCCAGCTAAGAACTGTTCATTTGGCCCATTTAAGTCAAGTTGAGGCGCAGCCAACTTAACAAGCACATAAGATAATTTCGTGCTGCCAGATCGTTGCGAAGCAGAAATGAACAGTTCTTGCCAGCAGAGGGCGCTGCACACGTATTCACAAAATACGCACATATTGTAATCGTCACAGTCACAATCGCAGTCACAGTTACAGTCGCTGTCACTGTTTCAGGCATACAGTCACCATCACCGTCACTGTCACTGTCACTGTCTCGCGGTCACCGTTTCAGTCACTGTAACGTTTCAATGTAAACTCTTTAAAACGAATTGATTATGTTTGATTTTTGAGTTTTATTTCAAGTACTATGTAATCATGTCGCTTCCGTACGATTATGTATGAATATCTACCTGTATACCTGTTAAACTTATTACGTATATCTATAACTGTCGATATGCAAATAAATGAAACTATATGTACTGTACAATGCTGTGGCTATATCGTTTATTTCCTTTATATTTGTACTTATAGAATAGAGCATTAACATTTTGTTTTCTTGTCACCGTACTGCAATCCAAATCGATTTCTTGTAAAGCTCTCCTTGTCTATATTTGTCTGTCTGCTGTCCATAATCAAATGATTAAAGCAAATCGTATGCCCGGTCTACGGCGCTAGGGACCATATCAAGTGTGTATGTTTATGTGCCGGTTATATCAATTACTGTTTGAGTTATATATAATTGAGTTAATTTCTTTTCGATTTTCAATCATTAATAATTGATATCCCTCATACAAATCATGCCAATCTCTCGCTTATGTTTTCTAAATACTTAATAATCGTATATCATGATATTTGCTACAACTCACCACTTTGACAACTACCTGGTACTATTACTAAATACTACCTAATACTACTAACACTACTACTAATACTACTACTACTACTACTACTACTACTACTACTGCTACCGCTACTTTAAAACAGTTTGCGTTTTGTGTTAAGCCAATATACTAATCTTAAGCTCAATTGTATTGGAACAAACCAATCGGATCGATATCAGTACACGATACGTAATGGACGTGGCCGTTTCGGGATACCTGGCAGCGATCGCAAGCCTTTGGTATTGTCAACATATCAGGATGCACAACAACACTTGCCATACGCCGATGACTCGAACGCCGTGACGCCCATGTCTGAGGAGAATGGAGCCATCATAGTGCCTGTTTATTATGGCAATCTAGGTGGGTTACACATCAGGCAACTGCTTGGTAATAAACGATATATCGATTGGTGTATCGATATATAATTCATCAACGATAATTGCATTGATTCTTCCCAGTATCGATCACTGTTTAGTAATGTTTAACATGATCGTTCTACGACCATAAGAAAATATATGAATTTCTTTGTCGCTAGATTCTGTTATCGAGCGACATTAAATCGTATCGTTATTGAGAATATCGATTTATTGAGCATTTATTCAATAAATGCTTACGTATCGATATTTTTGACCATTTGTCAAATGCACAATCATCGAACTGCATTCGTTCTGCTACAGGCTCTAGACACTCGTCGTATACCTCGCACCAGTCCCGTATATCGTATACCTCACATGGCGATCTGCTTGGCGGCATGGCCGTCATGGGCGTCAGCACAATGACCAAGGAGAGCAAGTTGCGCAATCGCAATACACGCAATCAATCAGTGGGCGCCACAAATGGCGGCACCACCTGCCTGGACACCAATCATAAGGTCGAGCATCGGGACTACGTAAGTCGGCCAAATCTTTAATGCATTTATGGTTTTACTTGAAAGTGAGAACTCTTTCAGGAAATCGGCCTGGAGTGCACGGACGAAGCGGGCAAGATTAAACATCACGACAATCCTTTTATTGAGCCCGTCCAGACACAAACGGTGGTCGACATGAAAGGTAGGTTCTAAGGTGAAACCTAATCAATCGATTATTTATCGGTCTCCCTCTCTCTCTCTCTCTTTCTGGTATTCTCGATTTGTTTTTTCTATTTCTCTAGATGTTATGGTCCTGAATGATATTATTGAGCAAGCCGCTGGTCGGCATAGTCGAGCAAGTGATCGCGGTGGTAAGTAACGAGTTATCGACTTATCGATTGTTCCACTTTTGTATTATCGCATTGCGTTCATGTTGTACATTTGACATACCCATTGAGTAAATATCTATATCTATATATATATATACATTTATATTGAAATCGATCGTCTTGTACATTTTCGTTTGTTTTGTGTTCTCTTCCATGTGCATTGTTTTCATTGATTTCTGTTTTCGTTTCAAGAACTAAAAAAATGATCAAAACCAAGTTCATGTAAATAAGTACAAAGCAAATCATTCTTTTTAAACTATTCTAATATGTTCCTTTCTTTTCTGGCTATTTAAATTCAATGAACTTAAAATAGACTTTAAGTGCCGTAACGTTTGTTTCTGTGACAACCGTTTTTTGCCCACAGTCATTTTATTTTGTGCTCTATGCTGCAAACTATCTATCGAATAACTATCATTTTGTGCTCTCCGATTCAATTGTCGACGATTTTTAACAATGCGTTACGCATTTATCATACTTCATAACCAACGCTCCTACTTACTATATAGATCAAGTACAATTTAAATTTTGATCAGACAATGCGCTGAGTGTTATTTTTTTTGTCTAGAAATTCAAGATCACATTTAAATACATATATATATATATGTTATAATCATGTTTATTGGTTTTATTGTTGCTTAAACGTTTTGAAATGAACGTACACGCATGAGTTGTGTGCGTTTTGGAGGGGCCGCCTGATTGATGATTGATGGATTGATGGATTGATGGCTTGAACAATACCATATATATATTTCTAGTCTGCTGCATGTGGAACATAGGCCTGTGCATCAGTTGATTAACAATATTAACCTTCTTATTGTTCATTTATTCAACAAAAAAAAAAAAAAACGATGGAAAATAACTCGAAAACATTTGCTAGCAAAAAATATTTGACTCACATGCATTTCCTTTATGATTACATACGTATACTATATAATATATTTATGTATGTATACATATGTACTCGCATTTTCATTTATGTTTTTGAGTTCTCATTTTATGATTTGTTTTTTGTTTTTGTCTTATTAACAAAGAATTCAAACAAAAACATTCCTAAATATTTTTAATAATTATACCTATATAAATATAATTACATATGTTTATACCCAAATGAATGACTTCTTTGACTCGTCCATTTTATTTAATGCCGTTGATGCTAACAGAAGAAAGCGAAAAACAAAAAATAAAACAGAAAAATTAAAAAAAAAAAAACGAAAAAGAAATGATTAATACAAATATGAATTTACAATAAAAGCAGCAAGCAAGCCAAACACACATTCACCCTATTAGCTAATCAATTTGAAAATTTTGTATGCCCAAAATAAACACACACCAAATCGAATACACGACAGTCCAATGACTACACACACGCACACACACACATACACACACACATTTCGTTGCAGCCTACTCGCTTTGCCGCTGCCCAAAAAAGTAGGCAACACTTTCATACTGTGCCCGCCATTGAGGCTTCGTTAGCTTGCTGCACCGTCGCCGCTTCACCCTTAGCGCCGCTTCACTGCACAACACAATACAGTTGCTGCGAGCATACAATACATATGCATAACAGTTAACAGTTAACAGTTAACAGTTAACAGTTAACAGTCAACAGTAATGTTCCCAATTTCACATTCGTCGCAATAACGCCTAAATAATAAATACATAAGCCTACATTTCGGGCGTGAGTCACAATTGGCAAATGAGCTGCAAATTGCAATTTGCTTTAATTCAAAAATAATTAATTATTTGGCATAAACAAATTAAACTGAAATTCCTAACTCCGGTTCGCTACCTAAAAAAGTGAAATTCAGAACATGTCTGTAGATAGAAAAAGAAAAAAAAAACAGAGAGGCTGTCAGCACAAAAACGAATACTTTTCGAATAATTTTAACAGCTTGTATTTAATTTTAAATTTAATTATTTTATCACTTATTACAAAAGTCGTTAGTTTCGCCGAAATTGTTTTTTGAAATTAACATTTTACCGCATGTCCAATTTTAACTATGCATACGAATTTTACAAACATTTACTCGGCCATATATACTATATATTACAGTAGAATGTTTTGATTTTGATTTGTAGTTGCTTCAAAGTATTTTTCAATTCAATTACTACTTAAATTTTGAGTAGCTTTCAGCCGAATTAATAATAATTACAATCGTAGTGTACGCATTAATAACTATTACTTAACGCATGCTTCTTCAGTAGAATGTAGTCGGTCACAATTCACCCTCAAAGTAATTGCCTGCAATTACTTGTTATTTAATCTTAAATCTTGATTTACATATTTCAACGCTGAGAGACTGAATGCTTAACATTTGTATTGGAATATGATTCGCGCTTATTTCAAAGTACAGATTTACCAATTATATGAAACATTTTCCCCCCATGTTCATCATTAAAGTAGTCGGCGGTAATGCTGCAAAACTTTCATCAGTTTTCAGAGTCGATAGGCAGAACTATCGAACTATCGAGATAGCTAGTTATATCCTGAACTCATTGATATGGGTCATGAGAGTTTTGTGCAAATGTATGTAACAGGCAGGAGAAAGCGTCTACGACCCCTTCATATATATAAATATTCTTGTTCATGAGTCGATCTAGCCATGTCTGTCTATATGAAAGCGTTGTTACCTGCAATTTATAATATATATTCACGTTTTTCTTTTTTTAATCGATATCATTTCCCATTTCCACAATATCGATAATTATCGATTTTTAGTCATCGTGGAATGTGGATTTCCCTGTATTACAGTTGCATCTTGGATAACTTTACCAATTCCTTACAAATAATATAAAAAACATAGCACAGGAAGAGGAAGTAGAAGAGAAGCAGCAGGCGGAGAGCGTGCTTCTCTGTGTGTGTGTGTGTGTGCGTGTGTGTGTATGAATGCTTGTAACAGCAGCTTGGCTCTGGGTTCAGGGTATCCCTCGGTCGGGCACTTCCGACTAGCATACTATTTCTTTTCTTTTTTTTCTCTTAGAGCGTAGAGACAATAACAACCAGCTTTGCAGCACTCGTGAGCAGTCAGAGTCAGTTAGTACAGTGAAACAAGCAGATGAAGAACAATATTAATTATATTCATTACAATTCAACTAGTTTTGAGTTTTGAGTCAGTTGAGACATAAGTCGCTTAGTCCGTATGCCAGTTGCATTAGAACTTTGCTTTCGTAGTCCAATGGAAGAGCTTAACTGATGAGAGAGTACAAGTAGAGTATTCATAGTTCGAATTGATATTCCCAATTCTATAGAGAGAAATAAACGTACGTTTGTGTTTGGTAATTATATGAAAAAAGCGCTCCATTAACAAAAGCCTCTCTATTTTTCGATAGCACACTTAAACACCTACACCAAGACACATATTCACACACACACACACACACTCACACACACACACTCACACACACACTGCGCGTGAGTGTTTGTTTTCCCATTATGTTTCTGTTCAACCTGAAAAGCTAACGAATAATTTCCAATGCAATGAAGCTTCACAAAACAAAAAACCAAAAAAAAAAAACCCGAATATTAAAAACTTTCATACAAAACTACGAAACTCGATCGTATGAAAATCTGCTAAAAAAAAAAAACAAAAAAAAAAATCTGCTAATCTGGCTGAGTCAAAGTTGGTCAAATCACAACTAATAACAAACTTTTGTATGGTTCAGTCTCCGTTTACTATTTCCCAACAGAGGACGACGACGAGGACGGGCCCACATTGAAAGACAGGGCGCTCGAAGTGATACTCAAAGGCATCGATGTGTTTTGTGTGTGGGACTGCTGCTGGGTTTGGTTGAAATTTCAGGAATGGGTATCCCTGATCGTCTTCGATCCGTTCGTTGAGCTCTTCATCACGCTGTGCATCGTTGTGAACACCATGTTCATGGCCATGGATCATCACGACATGAACAAGGAAATGGAACGTGTGCTCAAGGCTGGCAACTATGTAACTACAACTTTCAATTGACATGAATCATTTGAGTACATTTGAATACATTTGCAGTTCTTCACCGCCACCTTTGCAATTGAGGCCACGATGAAACTGATGGCCATGAGTCCCAAATACTATTTCCAGGAGGGCTGGAACATCTTTGATTTCATCATTGTCGCCCTCTCACTGCTCGAGCTGGGCCTCGAGGGCGTCCAGGGTCTATCCGTATTGCGTTCGTTTCGTTTGGTAAGCACTAGCCGTACCTTGAATATGCACAACTCAATAATTCTAGTTAGCTGAGGAACTAAGGTAGCCCTATGAAGCGTACATATCCATATATAATCTACTTATGTGACTGAGTTTGATTTTAATTGAATTATATTCAAGTTCGTAAACCATATCTTTCAACTTATACTCATACAAAGCTGTACTCAAAGCAACGCGTACTTACTCAAATCCGATAACCCGTTACCAGTTACCTTTTATCCGTTACCCAACACTCAAACACTCAAACACCCACACACACACTCACACACAAACATACTAAGCTAATGTTACCCATGTCCTGCCAATTTACAGCTGCGTGTATTCAAATTGGCCAAATCATGGCCAACGTTAAATTTACTCATATCGATAATGGGTCGCACTGTCGGCGCTCTGGGCAATCTGACCTTCGTCCTATGCATTATAATCTTCATATTTGCTGTAATGGGCATGCAGCTGTTTGGCAAAAACTACACAGGTATTATTGTATATGCCCAAACGAATCAACAAAATAAATCAATAATAAAAAGAAAAGCAAAAATCGCAAGTTTTTAGCGTGCAACAAAACATAATTTTTTTATACAAGCATTTTCCTACTCAACTTTTTACTCCAAGTTAACTAATTTTTTTGATATACATTAAGGACTTTTGTTTCGTTTTGTTTTTGAATTTTAGCCAAGCAAACATATATACATATATATGGAAAATAGCAAAATAGCTGAAAACCCACTTGATACTCAAAATTCGACATTTGACAAGCCGAATTAACAAAAAAACATAATCAATAATAGAAAGCAATGCTTTGGGCACGGTTTTTGCATTTCGAATTTCATATTTTGATTGTGCTTCGCAATTTCGAATGAGATTGACCGATTGATATACAAATCGATATATTCTAGAACTGGCCGAGCTCGAATGAGTTACTGAGGGCCCTAATTATATACAACCTATATAAATCAATTACTTTACTATTAATCAATATCTGAAGTGTAACAGCTGAGCAGTAGGCATTGTAAATACATGCCATTTTGAATGAATGAATGAATGAATCATGCACAGCATTCGAGTGGATGCTATAAATATGTATATACTCAATGTCAACTGCTGTGCATGATCATCAACTACGGTCGCATTCGTAGCTTTTTATTCATAGTTTATCGTTATTTGCATTTCAAAACATATTGCTACATATATATATATATATAACTATCTTTTGTATTCCTAATGCTTTGCCCGGCTTACAAACCAAAAATAACAAATGCAAATACTGCCAATAATATAATTCTAATAATAATGATAATGACAACAATGACAAACCAAACAATCAACAATTCCCATATATCAATTGCAATCGAATCAAATTGAACCAACGACTAATATAAATGCCATTTAATCGCCTAATCCCAACAAAATCGACACCAAACCCTTAACCCAAACCCAAACCAAATATCAATGGCAATGGCAAATTCAAAATCATAACCGCAACTCGTTATTCGTAATTCGTAATTGGTTATTCGTGAATGCAGCTGCGTGTATTCAAATTGGCCAAATCTTGGCCAACACTTAATTTACTCATTTCGATTATGGGCCGCACAATGGGCGCTTTGGGTAATCTGACATTTGTACTTTGCATTATCATCTTCATCTTTGCGGTGATGGGAATGCAACTGTTCGGAAAGAACTATCATGGTAAGTCCTTCACACGCTGCGTTGCAACAGCTTTTATCGATGTGCATTTTATCGTTTTGTTATCGGGGCGTTTTTTCTTTTCAATTCTTCTACGTATGTGTGTGTCTATACAATACTTTAACCAAATGGGTGTACATATTTATGTGTTAACTGCTTAAGTTGTTTATTTGTTTCGTTGTCGTTCTTGTTTATCGATAACTGTGATATCGATATCCTTCCGATTGCGCTTACGTTTACTACAATATCTACTCGTTAGCTCGAATGTTATTACCATTCCAATTGTTCATTTTCAATTAATGCCACTACAATTACTTCAGTAATTAAATCTCTGGACACTTAATTAGTTTGAGCTTCAACTTTGCAGAACCAGTTCGGCTCAAGACCGATATCTTTTAGTTTTTCAACTGATGTCAAATTACTTTCGTTTCCACTTAAACTTAAAAAATTGAAGCACAGCATCTGCTATATCCATCTGATATGTGGCTGAGTGTTATATAAAATATAAATAAAGTAATTGTCATGGGAATTGATTATGGAATTAATATCAAATTAAATACACCAACATATTTTCAAAATACTTTTAGTTTATTCAAAAAATGTATAGAAAACAGTCCGGTTGTGAGTTACCAGTTTGCGTCCGCTTAAATTCAGTTCAGTTAAGATCCGAAATGGTCAAGTCCTTTGTTTGCGCTGAGTAATTTGTTTTTAAGTTGGGTTTTGGATTGAGTTTTGGGTCCAATTGCCAGGCTGGTGCCTTTGGCTTCTGTAAGTACACTAGCGTGCAAAACATTTCCTTTCGCTTCTTTACTCTCAGCTCTCTCTCTCTCTCTCTCGCTCTCACTCTGTCTCCTGCTGTACAATATAGTTTAATTTATGACAAAACTGCAAATCTGTAACTTGGCTACGCAATTTTGTAGCATAAGACGCAGCCGCAATTAGTTTTTGTTTTAAGTTTTTTTTGCTGTATTATTTTGATTGTGGTTCTTGGTGCGCATATTTTTTGCATTTTCCAACACTGTTTCTGAGTGCTGCTGCCACTTTGCACACGCTTTCTGTATGTGGCTTTAGTAATTGAATAAACACGGAAAAAAAAAACAAAAAAATGAATAATAACAAAAAGAAACCTATCCTTAAATTGATGTGAATTTCTCTTCCCTAAATACCATATTTAACGTATACTGTTTGTTAACTTCCCCGTTGCGTCTATAGATCACAAAGATCGTTTTCCGGACGGAGATCTGCCGCGCTGGAACTTTACAGACTTCATGCACAGCTTTATGATCGTGTTCCGGGTGCTATGCGGCGAATGGATCGAGTCCATGTGGGACTGCATGTACGTGGGCGACGTATCCTGCATTCCATTCTTCTTGGCCACCGTTGTCATCGGCAATCTTGTGGTAAGTATATCCGGTTCGATCATTTTTGTAATCGTGTGCGATATCAATTAATGTCGGTCTGTCTGTCTTTTTCAGGTTCTTAACCTTTTCTTAGCCTTGCTTTTGTCAAATTTTGGCTCATCTAGTTTATCAGCACCAACGGCCGACAATGATACCAACAAAATAGCTGAGGCCTTTAATCGTATTGGCCGTTTTAAAAGTTGGGTTAAGCGTAATGTTGCTGATTGTTTCAAGTTAATACGTAACAAATTGACAAATCAAATAAGTGATCAACCTTCAGGTGAGAGGATCAACCAGATCAGTTGGATTTGGAGCGAAGGTTTTTATCCACTTGTTTTTTCAATTTACTAAACTACTTTTAACTATATAATATAATATGTAATAATATTATCAATGATATATAATTGCGTTAACGTTAACGTTCAACTCACAATTGGCAACAAATTTACATGTTCAACTAGTTTGACCACAACGAAAAACAACACCCAATCCGTCTAAAACTGTAAACAAAAATATATTCAAAATGTTTCTAAATGACAATTTGCAAATCAGAAATTATGAAAACGAAAATCTCTTTAGTTAGTTTTCCACTTGTACCCAGCATCCCACTGAAAATCTTCATATCAACTTGCCAAGTAATGCAAAAAAAAAATCCAAAAATCGATAAATCAAATATATATATATATGCAAAATCGAAATCGAAATCGAAATCGAAGTCGAATACAATCGAATTGAAGTTCATCTCGTTGCGCCATTTTGAATTTAACTGATTTAGTTATGGTTCCCGTTCGATTTGAACATAATTGTTGTTGTTCAAACCTCAAATGAGACTATGCATATGTACATATGTATGTATGTATGTATGTATGTATGTATGTATATATGTATATATGTATCTGTATTTATATATGTACTCGCTGCCATGTACTCGTACGTATGCATCTGGGGCATCAAGAATTGCGCCGAGTGTGACATTTCCGCTCACCTCATACCTAATTAATCTACCCAACTAACTATTTACATATATACAAAATAGATCCGTAGACACCGTCATCTACTTAGCGTTAGTATTGTGAATTAGTGAGTATTTAGCAAAAGTCATGTACACATATTTTTCTTAGCTAGATTTCGACTTTCAACTAGTACCTCGTTTACTCGTTACCTTCTACTCGTTGATCTTTTGCTTTCTCTTTTGTTCTTCCTGTAATTCTCCTTTATCTCAACACTCCATTCGTACTCGTTCTCGTACTAACCTTTTGTATCTACATACGTACATATGTACATATGTATAGCTCTATATGTACATATGTGTTAATTGTATAGCTAAAAGTTAAATTCTAATTAGAATTCGTCGTATTCGTATTTTGGGCATCACCCACTCACACTCACAACGTACCCACACGTACGTACGACTTGCGTCCAGTTTTGGTTTTTCAATCGGCTTCATATTTACCCACATTTAACCATAAATATGCACCTTTTCAACAAATAACAACAGAAAACATCAAAAAACACAATTTGGTCATTTATAAGAGTCTAGATTCGTAGCGAATTGCCAACGGTTAACATGAAATTTAAATAAATATATATATGAATTTTGCTAGCTGCCATTAATTGACGATGCGAAAGTAATTAAAGATACCCATTGTAACTAAAAATTATATAAATTGAAAGTGAAAACAGTGGATTTGATCCTTCATAGTGGTACAAAACTTTTCTTTTTCGATATTATTGTTGTCTGTGTATATTGTATATTGTATATGTATGGAATTTCTTTTATTGTTTCTCCTCTTTTCTCTTACCAAAAAGAAAAAGAAAAAAAATACCGCTAGCACTTAAATTTGTATCATTAAGTTTTATTTCAATTTTGTAAAATGTTAACTTAGCGCTTATGTAAAAAACTCATGTCTATCCAAAAGCCAGATCAAAACAAAAAGAAAAAAATAACCCATTTTCAAGTATAATTTGTGTACATGTAATATTCCCGAATTCCAGCTGGCTTCTAGATATGACAGTACAACATTGAGCCCAAATTCATATTGTTTTCGACAATTCGATCATCCCATCTAGCGATCAGCTCATCTCACTCTGCAGCTCTTCTTTGTTGGGAGCCCGGTCAGATCATTTGCGATATGCGTTGTTCGCTGTTGTGTTGTTTCAGCGTCTTCTCAACTGTACTTTGCCGATGTATCGAACGCTCTGTTATTTATCGGCTATCGATCAGTTTAGAAAACGCGACCGTGCATACGTTACGTATGCGATTTGTTTTTGTGTTCCATTATGTGTCGTAAACTAAAACTTGATCCCAATATGATATTAACCGCATAACTATCTTTATTCTTTTCATTTCTGTAATGTGGCTTGTCATGATTTCAATAAAAATCTAAAAATCTAAACGTATTGCATTGGTCAACGTATCAAACGCCTCAAAACCAAATATATCATTACTGAACCTACAAAATCAAATCAAAATATTCAAACATCAATATATGAAATACATATATATATATATGTATATCTATATATCGACCATATCAACCAATCAACCAACCAACAACGACAACAACAACAATGATAATTTATATAAAAAAAAAAAATTGTTTCAAATATAATAACAACAATAACAACAACTCTTTAATGCGAACGGCAACTGCTTCTCTTAAATTCGTGTGAATTCGCTTTATGATTTCCATCATCACCCATACATGTACAACCATATATACGTATATATGCCATAAAAACACATATATATGCTATATATGCTATATATATGCCATACCTATATTATGTACATATATATCGAAAATTAAATGTCTATAACGAAATGCAAAACAAAAAAAAAAACCAAAAAAAAAAATATCGGATACGAAAGGCAAGGGCGTTTGTCGTTGTATATCTGCAGAGCACGGTGACAACGAGTTGGAGCTGGGACACGACGAGATTCTCGCCGACGGTCTGATCAAGAAAGGGATCAAGGAGCAGACTCAGCTGGAGGTTGCCATTGGTGATGGCATGGAGTTTACAATACACGGCGACATGAAGAACAATAAGCCGAAGAAATCCAAATATCTAAATAATGCAACGGTAAATAAGACAACTCGAATTTGATTTCATTCTCAATATATATATATATATATACATACATGCATACATGTATATTTGATAAATACGTTTATATACGTCTATATATGCAAGTGCCATGCAATCATTTTCCACTGAAGGAAGTGAGTATAACACAATGCAATCCATACCTTAACCCCCCCCCTGTCCATCTGAAGCTATCGTAAATGTATCGAGCAAGCGATATCGATTATCGTATCCCCACCCCTCCTCATTCGCGGTGCCAGCGTATCGCATTCTTATCTTCCATGCGATACAAAAAATCAGATCAGAAACGTTTGCAGTGTATTTGCGTACATATGTATATGTACATATATTCAAATAATTATGTATGTGTGTATGTGTGTATGTATGTTATGCATACATTTTACAACAACTATTGCCTATGTATTTTATAATTATATACATATTTAGACTAATTTCTTAACGACAACAAATTGATTTATATTATTTATTCGTTTCCTTTTCGTTCATTTATTTGTTTTCTTTTACATATAACTGTCTATATATGTACTGTTATGTGTGTGTGTGTGTATTCCACAATCCAATCAACTAACAAAAAAAAAAAAAAAAAAACCAAAAAACAAAAATTACAAAAAAAAAAATCAAAAAAAAAAATTATAAAAACTCAACCAACCAATCCAACCAACTGAACCCGACACTTGAACTGAAATCGTTCCAAAATATAAAAAAAAAAAAAAAAAAAAAAAATATATATAAATAATTATACAGATGATTGGCAACTCAATTAACCACCAAGACAATAGACTGGAACACGAGCTAAACCATAGAGGTTTGTCCTTACAGGACGACGACACTGCCAGCATTAACTCATATGGTAGCCATAAGAATCGACCATTCAAGGACGAAAGCCACAAGGGTAGCGCCGAAACGATGGAGGGCGAGGAGAAGCGCGACGCCAGTAAAGAGGATTTAGGTCTCGACGAGGAGCTAGACGAGGAGGGCGAATGCGAGGAGGGCCCACTCGACGGTGATATCATAATACATGCAAATGACGAGGATATACTTGACGAGTATCCAGCTGATTGCTGCCCCGATTCGTACTATAAGAAATTTCCAATCTTAGCCGGTGACGAAGATTCGCCGTTCTGGCAAGGATGGGGCAATTTACGACTGAAAACTTTTCAATTAATTGAAAATAAATATTTTGAAACAGCTGTTATCACTATGATTTTAATGAGTAGCTTAGCTTTGGTAAGTCGACTACAACTACAACTACTTAAAAAACAAAAACCAAAAAAACAAAAACCCAAAAAAAAAACAGTAAAAACACAAAATTTGCTAAAATATTTTTGCTATTTCGAATTATTGCAACTTGCAACAGTTCGGAATGCCACAAAAATAATTTACAATTAATTAAAACAATTAAAAAAAAGTGAAAATATAAGTAGTTAATCAAGCCTCGCTTAAACTTTACCAAAGTTGATTGCTTCATTGTTTTTATTTGTTCTTATCATTTGATTCTAGTGACAATTAGAGTTTGCTAGTTGAGCATAGTTTAGCTTCGAGTTTAACATTTCAACCAATTATGAAAGTATACATATGTATATGTTTTCTTTAATTTCACTCTTGATTTCATTGTTAACTGCTACTGGTAGCAACAATAATGTAGAACAATGCTTCAATTGCCTAATTGCTTATGATCCCAAGATATAAATTTCTCTGATCTTTAAACGATCTCCAAAGAATTCCCTCTCATACGCAGCCAGCCAGCATGTTGCTATCAGTAGCGCTTCAAATTGATTTGAGTTTGGTTTTGATTTCATTTCGATAAATGTAGATCAATGAGCCGCAAAAAGTCGACTTTTGAACTAAGCTTGGGCACACGTCCAGTCAAACGGTTTGTGTCCTTGCTTAGGGCAAAAGGGCACACCCTGTATCTGTATTTTGTATAGAGTCCATCAATTGGCATTTTGGCACATTGAATTTGAGGGCTTTTTTTGTGTAGCTTTAGCCGTTAGCCGTTATTGTGAGAGACGCGCTTATGCGTATTATTTCAAGAATTTTGTCTTCAATTTCTTTGAAAATTTTTCTTTAATTGCGTTTGACTTTGATTTGTCCGTAAACGAAGAAAAAGACACAAACAAAATTCAACCAAAAAGTTGCCTTTTTACTTGCGTAAAATATAAAGAAACAAAAAAAAAAAAAAAGAAAGAAACAAGTAACAACAAGTATGATATTAATAACAATAATAATAATAAATGAAGTATAGACACTCCAATATGAGTAAGGCCAGTTAAGCGGCTCCACTTACTTAATTACCATATTGCTTATGACTATCTAGCTTCTTATACTGCTTCTAGATAACAATATGTATGTACTTTTGTAATCCATAACTTCTTTTACAAATAACTTAAATACCCCACTCCACCCCCAACTCCCAACAACCAACAACCAACAACCAAACGCAAACAGGCTTTAGAAGATGTACATCTGCCACAAAGGCCCATACTGCAGGATATTTTATACTATATGGACAGAATATTTACGGTTATATTCTTCTTGGAGATGTTAATCAAGTGGTTGGCCCTCGGCTTCAAAGTGTACTTCACGAACGCGTGGTGCTGGCTTGATTTCGTTATTGTCATGGTAAGTCCTCATGTTGGCCGTGTACAAATGCTTTCGACTCTCTTTTTTATTTACTTATCACGAACCGAATCCGAATCCGAATCCGAATCACATGTATCTTTTTGGAAACTTGAACAAAACGTAAACGATCGTCAAAGAATTACAAAAAAAAACAAGCAAACAAATTAAAGATAGAAACATACTTACATATACTCGTATAGGTATCAAAAAAAATAATATATATATATGTGAAAAATATTACCAAACCAAACCAACACCTGTACAAAAAGTAAAAAAATAAATACACTGACTGACAGTTGGACTATATATCTTTGAAAATACTTAGTGATAATATATAGATTTTGATTTGTTTTCATTTTTTTTTTAATATTCAATAATTTTTGGTTCAATGCTGCAAACAACAATTTATAAAACGTTCAACAGTTAGGAGATCTATATTTAATACTTAAATGTAAATGTAGCATAGCAGAGAACCCGTACTATAAAACCCAGTTGAAATCTAAGACTATATCAGTTTAAAAACCCAACTTAGTTAGTGATTTATTTAGTTTAGACTAAGCCTAACTACAAACTGCACATACTCGTTAAAATATCTAGATAAACAGATCATATATTTGAGTATCACTTGAATTTGAGTTAATGTTTTGTGTTTGCGGTTTGATTTTGATTTCGATTTGGATTTTCCCTTTTGATTTTGAGTGGTATCTAAAGCTGTTTATGCTTAAATACATACTATGTACTTATGTAATGGTCGTTTAGCTGTCGCTAATCAATTTGGCTGCGGTCTGGTCCGGAGCCGACGATGTGCCCGCCTTCCGCTCGATGCGGACCCTACGCGCTTTGAGGCCATTGCGCGCCGTTTCGCGATGGGAGGGCATGAAAGTAAGTAATGTCCGCTGGGACTCTCTCTCTCTCTCTCTCTTTCTGTCTCTTTCTGTCTCACTCTCTCTCTCTCTTTCTCTCTGTCTTAAAAGTACTTGTGTATCTGTGTCTTGCGCTCGCTCTCTTTCTCTCTGTCGCTGTGCGTGTGTGTGTGTGTGTGTGTGTGTGTGTGTGTGTCTGTACGAAAGAGCTAACATATATGTGCGCCCAAGCATAAAAATATAATATCCGTATACATATCATGTATATATATATATATATATATGTTATAACCTTTATATATATGTATATACCGTACTCAATGTTGTCATACTAACTATCAATTTCTTATACAATACTTACTGTTATACAATGGCGACAGTCAGCTGTGCGCTTGATCTTGCTTGGCCTACTTTGAAGCCAGAGCTGCGACTCTCAGCTGAGTAGTCACAACAACGTCAAGGACACGCCTTTCTATCGTGCGCTCTCTCTCTCTCTCTCTCTCACTCACACACTGTCTCTCTTTCTTTTGTGTGTTAACTGCTAACTTTCTCTTATACGTGCGCGCCGCCAGCTGCACCAAACACATTGTTATACAGCTACAGTTCGAACTGTTATAACTGTTATTGCGCCCCTTTATTTACTCGCGTGCAATGGCGAGATTTCTTACTCCATATACATATATATATATATATATATTTATATGTATGAGTATATGTATATATGTATATATGTATGTATGTGTGTGTTGTGTGTGTGTTTGTATGTTTGTATGTGTGTTCGTTGTTGTTATTTTATTTTGTTAATCAGCGTTGTATCTTATCTGTGTTGAATACCAAACAATATTTCACACTGCGCTTAGAGTGGCGCTATGCTAACTGTTATACCAGCCAGTATGTAGATTATATTTTTTTTTGTGTTTTCTTTAACCATTGTACTTAACCATCCAAGAAACTACTGTTATATGTATTACATATACCTACATATGTATGTATGTAACAATTGTATTATATTATCGTATCAACATTTAAATACTATTTACATAATTTTGCATAAGAGTTCAATCGTTTTGCAATTGTATAACAAATATATGTATATGTATGTATTATTAATGCTTCATTTTTTCATTTGGTTTTCGTGAAACCCAAAGTAGGTGGTAAAAAAAGGGCTTTTCTTTTGTTAACATACTATATACAATGTATCAATGTATCTATTATATATGCATATACATTAACATATGAATATATATGTATGTACATTTGTATTAATTATAAACGTTGCTGCTGTGACGCTTTAGCTTTGTATATTATGTATTTATACATACCATATACATACATACATACCTCCATACTGTAATAATCGATAAGTTCAATAGTGTAGCTCCAGTTTTAGACTGTAATCTAGGTTAGTTAAGCCTGTACGTATAACAGTTGTATTATCTGTATATTTAGCATTAAGCCGTTACGTACTTGCTAAACCATTAAACACATATGTTTGCATACTCTACAGTATGTAAATAGATGCGTATGTAAGTAGTTTGGTTCAGACGCAATCAGATATACTCTACCATATTGTGCCCATTGTAAACAACGTAACAATTGAGCGAATAGCGCCCCTAGTACCCATACTCTTATACCCGTATATATGTATGTCGTTCCCGTATAACAGTTATCTACCAGCCGATCCTAACTCTTAGCTTGAGTAGTAGCATTTAACTATATATGTATATCTATATCCATATCAATTCACATGAAAGGACATCAAATCCCGAACCAGACCCAAGACCTAGTACTCCAGCGGCACCTAAAATATATATATGTATATATGCATATGTATATAAGTTTATATTATATACATATATTATGCACACATAAGCCCCACCACTGTACAAAGATTCGAGTTGCAAAGCCTTCGCGACACTTAAGTGTTGCCTAGTGTAAAATGAAACTAGAGCCCAATGAATTATGTTTGTGTTCAGCTGTAGGTAAAGCGAAACGTTTGTATATATTCTTTGTTCTGTAAATAGGTATTCGTTATATATGAACACCCCACCAACCCCTAAAATAGATGCGACAACGTCGAATACAAGTGCAATTGCCAGCATTTGACAAATTGCGTATACGCAGTGGTGGCAGTGTTTTACTTAAATACAAGCCGCATCCAAGAAACTTAACAAATATGACAACATTCGACTACAGTCGCCGCTTGGTCTGTTCTCTATAGACATACGATCAGATTGCGTGCAGGCCACGCCCAAACAATCCAATTCAAGCCCCATCCAGGCTAACTAACATAAAGAAGAACTTTTGTACCTACCAACCAGCCAATGAAATCCACGAACCAATCGAGTCCGGCAGCAAAGTTTGAGCAAAAATGTGTCAATATAAAGACAAAAGCCAAAAGTAAAAAAAACCACTCAACAATTTCGAAAAGAAATGCAACCCCACAAATGAATGAAAACCTAGTGCAAAAGCTGCGCGGCTGCACAATAGACCAAAAGGCAATGCAAACGCCACAGTTCTGTCCTACACACACACACACACACATACACACACACACAGGTGACAAGAAACAAGATTGGGGCTTGTATAGAGGGCAGCACCTAGTATTCGAATACAACAGTACTCGTAACTGTAACTGTAATTGTAACTGTAACTGTAACTGTAACTGTAACAGTAGCCCATAAGAAAATGCATTCATTTGGTCCACATTTCTTTGCCATTTGGCGTTTGCAAGCCGCGTTCGTCCATTGTGAAGCTTCGTGCGGCTGTCAAGGGTGCAACATGATATTCTGTTTATTAATCTTTAATCGTTAAGTTCAATTAGCATTCTCTGTGCATGCTCTACGGGAACAGCAGCTACAACAATCTATTATACAAATATTCTCCCTGATCATCACAAATTTCTCCTCTTAATTCCCATACTCCTATACTTAATTTGATAAATATCTGATATGGCTCTGTGCTAATCTCCTACATCTCTTAGATACAGATTGGTTTCTCTTCCTCTCTTCTAATCTCTCTACTCACTCAGTAACCCACTGTCACTCAATTTGCTAACTACCCCAAAAAACAGGCGTGTCCTTTCAGTGTGCTTGTCGCCTTTGTCTCTTATATATAAATAGGCGCTTGACTTTTTCTACTCTTACTTACTCAATTTGAAAACTAGCCTAAATCAGCCCTTTATCTCATTTCTCTCTTTTCTATTTATTAAGCAACTACTCTTATACTGACTCAATTTTACAACTACCCCAAAACAGAGCTAAGTCTCTTATGAACAGTTAGGCTCTCAATCTCTTCTATTTATTAGGCAAATTCACTCTTATACTTCCGCAATTTAATCTCCAAACCTGAATCTCTTATAACAAGTTAGGCTCTCGATCTTTTCTATTCATTAAGCCACCCACTCTTATACTTATTCAATTTTAAACCCCACCCCAAAACAGATCTCAGTCTCCTATGAACAGTTAGACTATCGATCTTTTCTACTCATTAAGCAACCCACTCTTATAATTATTCAATTTTTAACCACCCAGAAATATCCCAGTGTTATGAGTGTTGTAATCTCCTGCAAGTTGTGTTTTTGTCGAATGCTCACATTACCCTTGAGCAATACTTAACTGTGTACTTGTCCAAATGTAGCGTATACTTGAACCGCAACTACATGCATAACGACTAAGCAATAATTCTGTACTTCCAATAATTGACCTTTATACCACATACATATGTATCTAAGTATGTATATCTATATGTGTTAATACGTTTTGTATGTGTGCGTATTTTGTGTGTGCTCGTGCGTCGAATTGCCTATACTCTTATATTTATTTATTCAACTAAATACTTACATTTGTTGTATGTGTTTTGCAAGTACAATTTACCTTTAAAACATTTATATCATTTAAACAAACTAGGCTACCAAATAAGTAATGTTATTTAAGTGCTAGCTATTCAAGCTAAATATCTGAGGCTTATGCGCAATGCAAATAAGTTCCGTTAGGCTCGGTCCGCCATTTTGTACCCGAGTACAGCAAGCAGCAGTTGACAATTAAATGCTTATCTCAGTTATGTATGTATTTTAAAAGATTTGAGTTTGGAACAGGAACCAGTACGACAGGACAAACACTTAACCAACTTAACCCAATAAACAAACAGAAAAACTAAACAGAAAGCAAGTTCGTAACCCCCAAAATTACCAAACACTTATATTTAACGTATCTATTTAACAAACAAAACCAAAAACCAAAAAAACCAAAAACAAACTCCAAAATGAATCTAAATAAATTTTGTTAAACTTGGCACTATTCGAACTATATCGAAACTAGGTATCGCTTATCAACTTCGTTGCTTCACTTGTTGGAGCTGGTGGTATTCAAGCCTTCAAGACTATGCGAACGTTAAGAGCACTGAGACCACTACGTGCCATGTCCCGTATGCAGGGCATGCGGGTACGTACTTTCATACATTAAACCAAATACAAAAAAAACAAACAAACAAAAAAAATTAAAAAAAAAAAAAAAAGATATACCAGAATACAAACAGCAAAATTTGAAAAATACATTCCAAATATCATCATTCAGTATCAAATTCAACTAAATTCCACAGCGTAATTCATTTTCGAAACTAAACAAAAACAAAACAAAATGGCTGCAGTTGCAGTTGTGTACACTCTTATACGCGCGCTGTATTACTCTTATACATACTCATGCCACACAACTAACCAGCGTATAACCACCACACACTCACACTCACACTCACTCTCACACTCTTACACACCAACACACACACACACACGCAACCAACAACCCAACCAAAACTCAATCTCTTAAATAGTTAAATATAATCATAAAATGTATTTAGTCGAATTATTAGCAAAACGTTAATTATAAACAAATACAACAACAAAAAAGCAAAAAAAAAAAAACAACAAAACCAAAATTAACAACAACAAAAATTATTCAACGTGCAGCAGATGATTTTGTATCTTTTTTGTCGTAGATATACTTACATATATCTCGTACATTATTCAATTCTAGATTGCATCCATAATTTGTCGACTGATTAGATACAATTTTTTTATCTCGTTATCTCGTTATATCGAACACCCGTTTTTTACAATCTTATGTTCTTAAGTACCGTTTACTGTAGTCGTTATCGTACATACTGCAACTGCATAAGTAATTAATTGCTCCTCAATTGGAATTGCCTTTAATTAATCAAATTGTTCACGCCCACACAAATTTTGTGCTTCAGCAACAAGTCTGCGCGACTCTCTCGCTAGATCTCTCTCTCTCTCTCTCTCTCTCTCTCTCTCTTTTTCTCCTCTTACTCTCTCTCTCTCTATTACTCTCTCTCTCTCTCTCTATTACTCTCTCTGTCTGTCTCTCTCTGTCGCTCTGCTCGCTCTTAGTGCTAATTGAATCGATCATTTTGTATTTCTGTAGTTGTTCTCAACAGTTTACCACCATTCCAAAGTCTGTTTGGCTTCACAACTCGTAGATTAATATGCTTAGAATTTTCAATCTACTCGTAACATACTCATTTCTTGCCTGCCCAAGACAGACACGAATCAATTTACGTATCATCGAGCTCTAAAGTTACAATACCTACATATATGTAAATATGTATGTACCCGTACTTACTTATAATTAAAACATTATCGTACACACAATAAATTTAGTTGACAAACTGTCATATTTGCATTCAATTATGGAATTTATAGAATGACAATAAAGTTTAAACTATTTGGAATGAAGACATCTCGAGCCGAACGCTTAAAGGTTTATTGTATTCCGATATTCAAATTTAAATTAAATTAGTCTGACTTTCTGTTATTATTTTAAAAATAACTGAATTAAGCTACTCGGAGCTATGTCTGTTTCTGATTTTTCAAATAAACCAATTAATAATAATGATTTTAATAATACTAGTAAAAAAAATAAATTTAAAATAATAAAAATTAAATTATAATAAATATAGTAATGCATTGAAAATGATAGCATTAATAATAATAATAACATTAATTGAAATAATAACATAATAAATAATGCCAAAGATAATGAAATATTACTAATAACAATAAAAATTATAGCAATAATATAATAATAATAATAAAAGCTATAATAATAATAATAATAATAATAATAATAATAATAGTAATAATAATAATAATAATAATAATAATAATAATAATAATAATAATAATAATAATAATAATAATAATAATAATAATAATAATAATAATAATAATAATAATAATAATAATAATAATAATAATAATAATAATAATAATAATAATAATAATAATAATAATAATAATAATAATAATAATAATAATAATAATATAAATAATAATAGCATTAATAATTATAAATCATAATGAATCGATACTAATAACATTAATAATAATAATAATATTAGTGATGACAATAAAATTCATCATAAAAATAATAATTTTATAATTAATGATGGTATTATCTGACAGATATAGTAAAGATAAGAACGACTGTCACTAGCTCCGTTAAATGCACTTAGATATTTTTGTCACTCGAGTGTCTTTATTTCAATCAGCGACTTTTGTAATGACTCTCTTCGGCATTCCAGCAGTTAATCATCTATAACAAAAGCCTATGTTTAGTTAAGTTATCTTATATCATACGATTACGAGCACTAATTGTAAATCTCTTTAACTTAGAGTTAGTGCACCTAAATGAATACTATTTGCTACCACCTATTCTGAGTGCCTTCTTTATGGAGCTGTTCTGTTCCGTTCTGTTCTGTTCTTTCACATCGATGTAAATGCTGTGTTGTCTAGTGTATGCCAATTGCACTGCTTTTGCTGCTGCATTATTTAAATCTTGTTCTCGCTAAAAATTTGAACAATTGTTCAACGCTTGCTGCATGCTGTAAATAGTTTAATTCTTGGTACAACGAACACCATTAGACACTGCCATAAGACACGATCAAGTACAAAGATCACTTTATCATATCAATGAACTAACACCTAATCATGTATCACAACTCGTAAAAAATGATCTATATATATATATCTATATATATATATATATCTTTCACAATATCAAAATGTACTATATCGTGCTTACCATACACACATATCTATATATATAATTATAAATTGATAAATATTACTACGAAATTGACTAAATAACTCTTTGCATTTATTGTATTATATTCTATATACTCCCCCCAAAAAAAAACAAAAAAAAAAAAAAAAAACAAAAAAAACAATAACAAACAACCACCATCATTCACCACCAACAACTGTTCCTGTAACCCACAACTTCCACATCAACCCGAAATAAAAAACCTTGAAAAATTCCCCACATCGAACATCGACAACGACGACCCGCCAAATGTGAAATTCGTATACGAAAATATGAAAATGATATCGAAACCAAAATTATCATATAACCAGGTCGTCGTTAATGCGCTGGTACAAGCTATACCGTCCATCTTCAATGTGCTATTGGTGTGTCTAATATTTTGGCTAATTTTTGCCATAATGGGTGTACAGCTTTTTGCTGGAAAATATTTTAAGGTACGTTCAAATGTTTTTTTCAAAAACAACTCAAATTCAAAACAAATACCAAATACCGTATACAAAAATAAAATACAAAAAAAAAAAAAAAAAAATTAAAACAAAACAAAGCGTTACAAAATGGTCCAAAAGTGGTGCAAAAATCTCATCCAGAATTTGTGCTATTTTTCGACTTGAAATCCAAGCAGCATTTAATTAGCAAGCAATCTAATGTGTTTAAAAAGAAAGTCTTCAACTTGACTGAAATGCGTATCTTTGCATCTATTTTTCGTAAATAGTTGATCAAAACAGAATCGAAATCGAAATCGAAATACAAATAAAAATACTCAACATACTCGTACTATGCATACTACGTACTTATAAGTACTCGCTCGTACTATGCATACTACTCATTTATAAGCACGAGTATAAGAGTTTGTCGCCTGTATTCGTACTTGTCTAGGTGTCAACTCTTCTAAATGCATATGCTGCTACACATGCTCCGGTAATTATTGTTTACCCAACTCTAAGTACTCAAAGTACTCATGCCCAACTGCATCGCCTCTTAGAGCAATCCAGTTGGGCAGAAAGCATGCATAGTTGCATATAAAAAAAAAAAAAATAATAAACCAAGATGCGACAAGGCTGCTGCACCAAATACCAAATACCATTAATTAGTACACTCTTTAGTACTAGAATTTAGTTTTTGCCTTTTGCACAAAATACTTGTTAATAATAAACAAATCTCAGTTCTAGCCAAGTGGCAGCCTTCAAATGCTAAATATACAATGCTAATTAGCTGCTGAACCTACACACTCACACACACACACACACACACACACACAAATACTCTTGCTACATGCCTCAAAAAAAAAACAGTTACTCGTAATGCCTTAACAACAAGAATTTATTTTCAATTAGCCGTAGCTTAGCTAACATTATATTTAATTCAAGTTCTGCTTTTACACTGCCAAACAAAAAGCTGAAGGAAAGATTTTTGCCAACTCGTTTTTGTTTCATTACGAATTAAATTCAGTCCAGCTAACCTGTAACTTTTTGCTTTTGTTTAAACATAAAAATAATTATAAAAAATCAATTAATTCTTAAGAGGTTTTTTTTTGTCTAGATTTTTGCTATAGGAATGTTGCATTTTAACCAATTATTTGACTTGAATATTCTCTGTAAAGAAAAATAATATATGAAAATCTTGCATAGTCTGTCCAAGATCTTAAGTATATAGATATCTGATTCATGCCTCAAGTAGAATTTCATTTGTTTAAATCGTTTCAAAAGCTGATTCGTAATGTTGCTAACCTTTCTTTTCGTGTGTAGAATATATTTAAAATTTCTCTTCATTTTTGCTGGTAAGGGCAGTGTAAAAGCAGACTTAAACCATTTGCCGTATATAACTTCGCATAACTGAAATACATTTTTCTTAAATTGAACTTTAAACAAACAAAAAAAAAACAAAAAAAAAATCCAATTGAAAAAACCAACTTAACGACAACCCTAACAAATCGGACGATGATGTTGATGATGATGATGATGTCCCAAACTGATGATGATGATGTTGATGATGATGAACACAGTGCGAAGATTTAAACGGAACGAAGCTCAGCCACGAGATTATACCAAATCGCAATGCCTGCGAGAGCGAGAACTACACGTGGGTGAATTCAGCAATGAATTTCGATCATGTAGGTAACGCGTATCTGTGCCTTTTCCAAGTGGCCACCTTCAAAGGCTGGATACAAATAATGAACGATGCAATCGATTCACGAGAGGTAATGTTCTCCAGTTTGCCTAATTGCCTAACAATTTATCTATATATATAAATATTACTAATACAATATTATGACACACTTGACGCTTATACAAAGTATATTTCTTTTTTCTTTTTGGTTATGCGCTTTAAGATCAAAAAAAAAAAAATGATTAACTTAACGCAATCTATAGTTAGATAAGTCTGTATAATGTAATCTTTGATTAATCAACGTTTCTATCTATACATTTTTTTCTTCTTTTTTATATGAACGACTACAACAATAACTACAACACAACACAACAACAACAACAACAACAACAACAACAACATTCACAACAACTACAAACTATGGCCACCACAACAACCAATACTTACACCAACAACAACAACACTGCCGAATAACACCAAAAATGGTCCATTCACAATTCAAACTCAACCGCTGCAAATTGCAACAAAAACAAAAACATAAAAATTCAAAATGATATCGATATCGTTATCGTTATCGCTATCGCTATCGATACAGGTGGACAAGCAGCCGATTCGTGAAACGAACATCTACATGTATTTATATTTCGTGTTCTTCATCATATTTGGATCATTTTTCACACTCAATCTGTTCATTGGTGTTATCATTGATAATTTTAATGAGCAAAAGAAAAAAGCAGGTGGATCATTAGAAATGTTCATGACAGAAGATCAGAAAAAGTACTATAATGCTATGAAAAAGATGGGCTCTAAAAAACCATTAAAAGCCATTCCAAGACCAAGGGTAAGACAACAATATAAAACCAAAAATTAAAAAAAAGAAACAAAAAATCCAAAAAAAAAAAAAACAAAACTAAGTATGAAACTAAGCCAACTAACCAACTAACAAAGAAAACAATTAACACAACAATGCTTAACCAGATGTCAGAAAGAAAACAAAAACTAAATCTGAAAAAAAAAACAAACAAATTCACATCAAATAACAAAAATACTTTTAAAAATGAAAACAAAAAGAAACGAATGAGAATTTTGCGATGTGGACTTAAATTTTCGATTTCTGCCCCTCAAGTAACAAATACAATTGCAATAATTTGCATATCTTTCGAAATGAAGCCATTTCAAAGTATTTCAAATGAAGTTCAGTTCCATCGCGCGCCTTATAAGCAATATTACCATGATATCAATTGAGAATCAAAAGAAATAATCAAATAACACTTGAAAGTCTTCGTGATCGCGTAATCTGTGCCAATCGTATTCAATTTGTATATATACGTTCAATTTATTGTATATATAAAATTTAAGAAGAAAAATCTTTTTTCTTTGCGTTAACAAAAGCTGCTAAACGGACCGTTCCACAAAACGTATTCGCCAAACTGTTTTCAATTGAGAACGGGACCGGACCGACATCGACATCGACACCGACACGACAAATACCCTTGCAATCTGTTTACATTCTTATTAATCGAAACCAAAAAAAAAGAAAACCTATATTAACCACAATTCAAATTCAATGGCCCTGTTCTCTAGCAATATTTTGTTCAAGTTGTATAATGGATCTTAAAAGAAGCGCAAAGTCGAGTCGCTGGAATAGCTGCCGTAGTGTGTGGCCTGCACATCCCTCTATATCTATATATAACATGTATATGTATATATGCATATATGTGCATATACTTATATGTATGTGCCATAGATTGTGCATCGTTTGTTGTTCGTTTTGAAGAGTGCACCCTACTGTTGCCATTGCGCGAACTCCTAAAAGCATACTATGTTCTCGACATACTATTGTTTTTCTTAAATAACTATACTTAATTTCAATATCAATATTTAAGTATTGTGTCCGTTTGGTTGTCTGTACTTAAACATTTTTATGTCTGCCATTTATAAACTAGACGAACATGAAATTTATGCCAAAATTCCAAAAAGTAATTAAAAAAAACAAAAGCAACCAAAATTGTAAATGTATAATAAAAAAAAAAAAAAAAACAACAACTATTTATGTAAATACTCGTAACTACTCTCTCTCTCTCTATCTCTCTTTCTCTCTCCACACTATCTTGTTCTCTTTTTCTATAAGTATAAATGCAACCCAAGTGCATGTTTCTTTAAAAAAAATCTGGCACGTGACTGAAATCATGTTTTGGGCATGTTTAGAATTAGTCACCTCTCCAATTAGACACTACCCAACGAGGCATGTTCGATCCAAAATTGCAGACATCCAAATCGACTGACCCGAGATCCGTATTCGACCACGACCACGACCACGACCGTAGCGGCACGTTTTCCTATATATATATATACTCTATACAACTGTATCTGTACTCAATATGTACTCAAATATGTACTCAAATACTCAGTTAAACAATTACTCAACTAATTAATCAATTACTCAGTAATCGTGAATGCTGTCTGTCCTTAAGAAGTAGTGTGTATGAATTGTCTGCTCTCAGTTTTTTAATAACCAAATCTAATCAATTAACGCACCGACTCACTGTTACACTATTGCTCTATATGTATTAATATATACATGTGTTCCAATTTACGCATACTCTACTGTACCATACAGGTTGCGCGCCGATCATGGAAAAAAGATTGCTATTGGCACAGATCTACAACGCAAAATGTTAAAGCATTGATAAACTGAACAATATATGCTCAATATAATTAAATAATATCCGAATATACCTATATACATACATATACCCGTTTAACAAAATACTTACTAAACAAACTAACCAAAAATAATTATGTTTGCGAGTTGGTAACTCCTTATAGATACCTAAGTACCTGTCTATGTCTATGTGCATATATGTATAACCTGCAAGCACACACACACATGCATGCGTGCGTGCGTGTGTGCGTGTGTGTGTGTGTGTGTGTGTGCGTGTGTGTGCTGGTGTATGTACACAGACATATATATACATAAGTAATTGCGATCGTGGTTAAACTTATACTTATACCAAACTCTTCTATTTTCTTTTTTTCTTATCTCTTTTCTCTTCCTTGTGTTTGGTGTACCGGATACATTAATCTTTTTTTTGTTCTGTTTTCATTCCTGAATACCCCTAACCTAATTTAAAATGTGACTTAATCGATTTAATTGTGTGTATGTTGTTAATTTAACTCTATCAATTTTGGTTTCGACGTATTTGTTTGTTCTCCTTCTCCATTTACAGTGGCGTCCACAAGCAATAGTCTTTGAAATAGTAACCGATAAGAAATTCGATATAATCATTATGTTATTCATTGGTCTAAACATGTTCACCATGACACTCGATCGTTACGACGCGTCGGACACGTACAACGCGGTCCTTGACTATCTCAATGCGATATTCGTAGTTATTTTCAGTTCCGAATGTCTATTAAAAATATTCGCTTTACGATATCACTATTTTATTGAGCCATGGAATTTATTTGATGTAGTAGTTGTCATTTTATCCATCTTAGGTAAGTAAAAATGCCAAAATTATCTACATTAAAAATATAAAAAAACCAAAAAAAAAAAAAAAAACCAAAACAAAAACAAAGCCAAGAAGCTTAAACAAATAAGCCAAAAATAGGCAAAAATCCAAGTTCCAAACCAAAATGTACGAATATCCCTCTCTCTCTCTCTCTCCGCATAACCGTACGCTCTTGCTGTATGTGTGTATGTTTCTCTGTATCTCTCTCTCTCTCTTACACACCCCCCAACTATCTATATATTTCTCTCTCTCTCTCTCTCACTCTCTGTGTTCGTATTATATTTCTGTCTTAATGCTCTTTATTAAAGACACAGTACGCTCCTTTTCCTATATTAACTAAACTAAACTTTCAACTAATTGTTAATTACTTTGCTGTCGTACTTATACGTGTATTAAATTGTCCAAATTTGTTAAATGTTGATTCGTAATTCGTTAATTATTAATGTTGTTACTCTGTTTCCAACAAAAAACAAAATATACCTAAGAAACGTAATCTAATTTGTTGTTATACAATTTGTGTTAAATGGTTGTGCATATAATGATTGCGGCTCTTTGACAATTCCTACATATACATGTACATACAAATAACATTAATAATTATAATACTTATTAATATTGTGTATATGTAGATTGTGAAAATATGCCAAATTTTATATGAGACAATCCAATGTCGTTGTGCTTAACGTATTCCAAATGATTTGTTAGCTTTGTTCGGGTTGAGTTTGCATTGAATGTATTACAGATAATTGTTATACTAACTGTTATACACGCATATGTGAAGTCAGCTCCTGTTTTCATTTCCGTTGCTTCTTTGAAATGTTGTCCAATTAACAATTAATTGTAAAATTTAGTAAACATTGCTGTTGTTTTTGTTGTTTTTCATTTTGTTCGAAAGTTAAATTGTACAAATTGTTAATCTATTTGTGTATTGGTGTCCATTTGTATTTCAATTGTTGTTGTAATCTGTAATTGTCGTTAAACCTATTGATGAAAATATTGAGATAATTCTATACATACAAGCATAAATAATGCCATTATTCTTTTACAATTGTTATGATCTCTCATCATAGCCAAAAACATTTAAGTTAAGAATGTTATTTATTTCCTTTTCCTTTTCCTTTAATTTTGTTTAACTTTTTCAAGTTTTACAGTTTCGATCCAAGTTTTCTGTGAATACCAACCGAGTTAATTATTTTTTAGCAGCCGTTTGCTCCAGCTTAACAAACGCGCATACGTAAGCACACAACCCAAAAAAACAAAGAAAAAGAGGAAAATATAAACTAGTCCGGGCCAAGTACTCAGGAGTACTCAAAAAAACAAACCGAATGCTCAACTTCAAAAGCGCAGCCCTTTTTTTTTAACTTGGCTACATAGTATGTTTTACTACTTCTTCTTCTTTTCAATAAATTTTGGTTCGTTTTGGATAAGCAACTAAAAATAAATATTAATCATAATATGGCTATGTGAGCGCGGAAGAACGTTAAGAAACTGTACAAAAGATGGCTTAAAATATGCTTTACTACATTAATTTATGCAACAGAGAGCTTCCATTTTATACTACTCCTTGTACATAAAAGGGATGCTGTTATCATTTCTGCTGCCGCCTTAGTTGAATCTGACCAACATCAATTCCGCGCCCAAAGTCCCATTGTGTGAGCCCCCAACCAGAAACATTAACCCGATTCACCCGATCTACCCGATTTACCCGTTTTATCAACCCGACCCCAACAGAAACTCGTACAATTCCTTGTACTTGCCGTCTCTTTCTACAACTTTTGTTTCCAATTGTTTTATTTTGATTACAAACATATTTAAAAACAAAAAACAAATGTCGAATACTGCTTCAAGTTCAAGTTCGCATTCTTTTTAAGTACCTACTCCTAGCCGGGCCCTGAGAAGGGCTCTGGCATTTTATTATTGCTTTGCTTCTATATGTGACACACTCGCCAAACGTTTCCAAGCGCACTTTCAATAACTAAAACAAAACAACTTTACAATTTTAATGCCAAACTCAAAAGCAAATGCTTAACATTTTTTTCGAGCGCCTTAAAGTATGCTTCATTCTTTGGCTTCGAATTTCGATCCAGCAAAGTGATATCCTTATAGACGAATATATTAATACACGCTTTTAAAAACAAAACAAAACAAAAACAGAAAACAGAAAACAAAATATTAAAAAACAAAAACAAACAAATACAAAAACAAAAAAAAAAAGAAAGAGAAAAAAACTACGCTTTGTAAATGCAAAAAGAACAACTTTTTATAAAGATAAAACAAATAAGCAACTAGCAATAAAAGCGACTTGCATAAATAAATAATAATAATAAACTGCCAATTTACACTCTCACACACACACACACACACACATTGTTAAAAAAATGGCTTGCACAGAACGCATAAGAAATGCTATTGATAAAAAGCACAACACGAAAAGATTCAATCAGAGTTAGGTGTCAATGGGCATTCCACAAACTCTCTCTGTGCGATTGTCGGTTGCATAACTCTGTCAGCTACTGCCCGGTATTCAAATTTTGACCATTGTCATAAGCAAAAAAAGAAAAGAAAAGAAAAAGAAATGAAAAGAAAAGAAATCCCGGCGGCCAGCCAATGCAATGGCCATGCGGAATGTTTAGCACACATTTGTGTACGACTGTTGCATTGGCCCAACACATTTGGCCGAAGATCCCAATTTATAGTGTGTAGCATAGCTGGAAGGATAAAAGATGAAACGTGACCCGTTTATGATTTGCATACCCCTCCGCCTTATATGTTATACGCATTGGCCTATTTGATACTTATTATGAAAAACGTCCCCAAACTTGATATGCAAATACCGTGGCACTAGCCTGAATCTTCTTAATGGTTTTGGTCCAATCTGTAATGGAGATTATGTACTTTACTATGAACGTAGTAAAACGCATATAAATAGGTTTAGATATGCCTCCAGATGAGTACTCCCCCCTCCGAAAACATCGAACCCGAATCGGGCCACAGCTTAACTAGCAAAAATAACAAAACGAAAAAAAAAAACAAACTCTCATTTCTTTTAAACTAGTTATAGTGCTTATCATTTTATATATATATACATATATCTATGATTTTCCGTTTCTGGTTTACCACATTCACCTCTTTCGCTCTCTCTCCCCCCCCCCCTCTCTCTCTCTCTCTTACTCTCTATTTACTGCGCCTTCTACCTAACATCTCGTGAATTCCAGTTCAACTCATCAGGCATTCGATACTGCTCGCTATGCTCTGATTCCTCCCTCAACTCCCTTTTACAGTTTCAATCACTCGCAATAGTTCGTTTGTTTGCCCAGCTTCCGTTTCCGGTGTTGTGTAGTGCCCACCGCCCACTTCCCTCTGTCATCGCTCACTTTAGTGCGCATTTCGTTTTATCTAGAGAAATGAGAAGCCAATGAACACATTGTCTCAAAATTACAAAGCTCTGTCAGTTGAGCTGCTCTCGCTCTCGCCCTCTCATTCTCTCGCACTCTCTCTCTCCCTCTCTCTGTCTTTCTCTCTGTCTTTGAGCAAACGAACTTTTTGCTGATATTTGGCACTCTTAAAATATGCTGCGGATTATCGCTAAAAGTAAATGACGCCTGCGTACAGCTCACACATACCTCTATATACCCGAAAGCAATAACAAATCAAAATGAAAAAAACAAAAAGTTCTTAAGTCAGCCGTATAAAGACATCTCTAAAGACCACGAGATGATTTCCGATGCCAACGCCTGCGCTTTCGCCTCCACCGACGCATTTGCTGCTGCTGCTTACAACGCCTGCGCTCGCCGCTAGAAACAAAAAAAATACAAATAATAATAAAAAACATAAAAAAGAAAACAGGATATTGACTACCGAGTGTTGCTGCTTAACGTTGCTGTTCAAGTTACCGTTATCTTTGCCGCTGGCGTTAACTTTCAACTTAACCTTACTTTTACCGCTACGTTCAATTTCAACTTAACCTTACTTTTACCGCTAGCGTTAACTTTCAACTTAACCTTACTTTTCAATTTTCAATTTTCAATTTTACTTTTTAATTTCCTTTTACTCAACATACTCATGTACTATGTATGTAACCCCTGTACCCCGTATATTAAGATACGTATGTGTTTGTGTGTTTTTATTTTATGTGTTGCGTACAATTGTGCCTAACGGTATCAAAGTTTGTCTGAACTAAAACCTATATTGTAAATACATATTTGTATATTTTATTGAGAAAGTTATGTTATATATATCTGTATATGTTATATTATTAACTTTAGCATTGTAGAGTATACACACTATACATAGCGATCGAGCTATTTCGTTTAGCCTGGATTATTCTTCAATTTATACCCAGCCCATGTTCTGCAGATGCATTTCGAAATTATGATTCAACAAATACACTTTTCTCAAACCTAAAGATCGATATGTATAGTACACAGGATCTTATATGCTAAACGTTTGCTAAAAATTTCAATTAATCTGCCATCAGATCAAATTCTTTTTATGATTCACAACTAGTTCGACTTCTGTCAGGCATAATGCTCTCTCTCTCTCTCTTTATCTGTCTCTCTCTCTCGCTCTTCGCTTCGCAGATCTGTGTGTGAGAGAGCAAAGCTACTCACTTGTTTTTCGGGCAGCGTTGCAATATATTTTAAACTTAGTTTGCGATCAGTTTGACTTAGCTCAGCTCTTTTGATCGTTATCTGATTGCAGTTTAATTGAAGTTTTATTATTTGTTGTCAATTTTTCTTTATTGCGGCACTGTACATATGTATGTATATGTATTTATGTATTTATGTATCGTTTTGTATGGTATTGTATTTGTTTGATTTTTACTAAACACAACTTGAATTTCTTGTTTATTTGTTGTTGTGTACGAAAACTTGGGTTGAGCAAGTATGAAGAAATTGTCTGTACCTAATGCTTTGAATATTTCAGCTATGTAAATTGTTAATATTGTGCTGCCGCCCTTTTAGTGTGTTGTTTGTGCAATTCTGATTGCGCTGACCCGAGGGTCAGAACCCATACCGAATCCCGTCTCCCGAATCCCGAATCCCGATCCGCATCCCAAAAAGTCAAATTCTATTAGGATGAGCCCTAGTTAGACGTGTTAATGGCCAAAAATAATTCTCACAACACAATTTCTCACAATCAATCTCTTCACACGTCTGTCAACGATGCCGTCGCCGATTGTTATCGATCATCGTTATCGCCGCAGGTCTCGTACTTAGCGATATTATCGAGAAATACTTTGTGTCGCCGACGCTGCTCCGTGTGGTGCGCGTGGCGAAAGTGGGTCGAGTCCTGCGCCTGGTCAAGGGCGCCAAGGGCATACGAACGCTTCTATTCGCGCTGGCGATGTCGCTGCCGGCGCTGTTCAACATCTGCCTGCTGCTCTTCCTGGTGATGTTCATCTTCGCAATCTTCGGCATGTCGTTCTTCATGCACGTGAAGGAGAAGAGCGGCATCAACGATGTCTACAACTTCAAGACGTTTGGCCAGAGCATGATCCTGCTCTTTCAGGTAAGCGTATCAGCCACAATTCCGTTAACGGTTTATGTTGTCTATTGTTGTTGTCGTTGGGTGATGTTGCCACGCCCCACACTAAATAACACCACCACCACCAACACCACCCAGCTCAAAACCGTTCAATTCAGTTCCGAGCGGTCTGGCAGGTCTGGCACGGCTCCACATGGCGGCTGGCAACGCTTTGTACATACACTAACACACTCACACTCACACTCACACACACACACACACATACATACAGCTATTGACGGTCACTTATCGAACGAACGTGATCGATAAGCCGTGACCGTTCAATATGGTTGCCACCTGCCATGTGGGCCAATTTTTTTTTTGATTTAGTGGCAACATCACAATGTTGATTCAAGCTGCGGTAGTTGTTGGTAAAAGCTAAATTAGAGCGATTTTTTTGATTCACCATTTTGTTTTCTGTTTCTCGAGCCATTGTAAAAAACCCACAATTACTTAGCTCTTCCATTCCATATCTGGATGGCATCAGCATTTAAGGCATTTCCTTTGAGCTCCTAACGACTTTTTAAGCAAGTCCTCGAGCTCTCATTATCAGCTGCTAACTCGGGCAAAAATGTGGTAACTCCATTAAAAGCTGATCCATCGAGAGTTTGTTGAACTCATGTCCAGTTTTCATTTAGCATACCATACTTTTTATTTGAATTAGCATTACCTTAGTTGATTATACAAAAAAAACAAATCTAATTCAGCTCTTTCAACAAAAACCAAATGAAATGTTGGAATTTCCTCATGACACAATGCAAATAAATACTTTCGCGCGTTTTTCAAACGCCAAGGAACACAAAACTACGCTACTCTCTCTCTCTCTCTCTGTCTTTCTTACCCTCTCTCTATCTATCTATCTATATATCTATCTGTCTAAGTCCTTCAAGCTCTCTATCTCACTGTCTCTGTCTTTGTTATTGTCTCTGTCCTTAAATGTTTTCAACTCCATCAACTTTTAACTCGCTTTGTTCACACCCAAACTTAACAAACGAACAAAGCTTTTCACAAGTTATCAAAATGCTTGCATTTACCGCTAATTGGCCTGGCCATGAACCCGTTATGCGACTATAACTGGCCGCCATTTTGTTGGGCCCACACCCACACGCCCTTTAACGCATATGTTTACACATATACATATATATATACATATATATTCATACATAGATGATACTTTTGGTCCTCTGCCAACCACAACCAATCCACACTCAAAATAAAAGAACCCCATACGTATTTACCCATAGTACAACTAGCTAAACTACTACAACTACTACTACTAACTACTACTAACTACTGCTACTACTACTACTATATGCCAATACCTACTACTTAGTTTGCTTAACCAAGTGATCCATTAACCTAACGTTTTGACTAATGACTCTTCTTGTTATTGTATCTTCTGTCTTAAACTTCTCTTTCACTGCCCACACACACACACACGCAAACACAAACACAAACACACACACACACACACACACGTACGACACGTAACTAAAATCTTGACATGCACGATCTATATACGATCGACCTAACAAAATAATACGATATGAACGAACCACGAAAACAAAACAAAACAAAACAAAACGAAACCAAACAAAACAAAACAAAACAATAAAACACCATCCAACCGCACAACTGCCGTCCACACATGCGTTTCGTGCTGCTTTTTGAATGCAATTCAATTGAAATGAAATGAAATCGTTTATCGATGATCGATATATGTATATCGATCGATTTCCATTGCATTTTGCGCATACGCTAACTGGCAGATGTCTACCTCAGCCGGTTGGGATGGTGTACTCGACGCCATTATCAATGAGGAAGCATGCGATCCACCCGACAACGACAAAGGCTATCCGGGCAATTGTGGTTCAGCGACCGTTGGAATAACGTTTCTCCTCTCATATCTAGTTATAAGCTTTTTGATAGTTATTAATATGTACATTGCTGTCATTCTTGAGAACTATAGTCAGGCCACCGAAGATGTGCAGGAGGGTCTCACCGACGACGACTACGATATGTACTATGAGATCTGGCAGCAGTTTGATCCCGAGGGCACACAATATATACGCTACGATCAGCTGTCCGAATTTCTGGACGTGCTAGAGCCCCCGCTCCAGATACACAAGCCGAATAAGTACAAAATCATATCGATGGATATACCCATCTGTCGCGGTGATCTCATGTACTGTGTGGACATACTCGACGCACTCACCAAAGACTTTTTCGCGCGCAAAGGCAATCCAATCGAGGAGACCGGCGAAATTGGCGAAATCGCCGCCCGACCCGACACCGAGGGCTACGAGCCCGTCTCCTCCACACTCTGGCGCCAGCGGGAGGAGTACTGCGCCCGCCTCATACAGCATGCTTGGCGCAAGCACAAAACGCGCGCCGAAGCCGGCGGCGGTGATCCAGATTCGGATGCCGCCAACGATATGGAGCCCGATCCGGCTGCCGGCGACGACGCGCCCGATGACAGCGCAGCTGGAGATGATGATCCTGATGCCGCCGGCGCCAATGGTGGCCATGATCCAGCTGCTGACGGGGCAGCTGCCGATCCAGCCAACGAGCCCAGGAGCATTGTAAATAGTCCAATGGATGGCGGCGGCGGCAGTCCCGGTGGCCAGAGCGCCGGCAGTGGCGGCAGCGCCGGCCGCCAGACGGCCGTTCTCGTCGAGAGCGATGGTTTTGTGACAAAAAACGGCCACAAGGTTGTAATACACTCGCGATCGCCGAGCATAACATCGCGCACGGCAGATGTCTGAGCCAGGCCTCGCCCCCCCCTCCAAGACGCACGCGAGTATTAGGAGCAGCAGGCACAACAGCAGCAGCTACCATTTGTGTGTGTGTGTGTGTGTCAGCTGCAGCTGCAGCCGCAACAGCAATAACAGCAGCAACAGCAACAACAGCAGCAGCAGCAGCAGCAGCAGCAGCGACAGCAACAACAACAACAACAGTGAGCAAACAGGTACAGCGAACAACAAACAGCAACAGCAACAACAACAGCGATCAAGCATAATTTTCTGCTAAAAAAACAAAACAAAACAAAACAAAACAAACAACAACAAAAACCAAAATGAATAATTAAAGTACAACAGCAACAACAACAAGCAACAAGCAACACCAACAACAACAACAACAACAACAACAACATCCTAACAACAACGACAGCAGCAAGTGTCTAAAATTTAAGTTAATTCAGTTCGAGCAACTACAACAACAACAAAAACAATCATACTTAAGAAATATTAAACATTTAAATTAAATTAATTAAGCAGCCTCGTAGTTTACCTTTTAAATCACACCCACACACACACACACACACACACACACACACACACACACATATTACATTACAAATACCGTACGAGTACAATCGAGCAATCAGCCAATACAAAAGCTAAGATTCTAAATTCGATTATTGATTCTAAAATCTACATTCTAAAATGAAGCCTTAAATATTAAATATGATTTGCGCACTCAGAGAAAATCAAATCATAATATATTAATTAAATTAAAGACAGTGTGAATTCTAATTACAATTACAATTAAAAACGAAAACAAAACCAAAAAAAAAACAAGAAGCAGCAACATAATCTACATTCTAACATATAACGCGCAAGAAATACGAAAAACAAAACAAAAAAAAAAAAAACGAGAAACAAATAAGGATATTTAATTAAAGCAAAGTATAATTAACTAATAAACTTATTCGAAAGCAACAATTTGAGATGAAACACCAATTACATGATTATATAGTATTTTGTATTTGTATATTACATTTTAAAGAAGTTATTGAAAAACGAAAACCGTCTGAACTGCCATAAAAGCAATACAAATTAATCATGAAAACCAAATACGATATCAAGAACATTTCTAAACGCACCAACACTAACACACATAACACACATACATATGTACTGGTATAATATATATTTCCATATTCCGCAAAAGAGAATTACAATCCAAAGTTCGATTGAGTCATTTCAAACGTAATGCATTGTGTTGAAGCGAATCCTATTTTAGACACTCACACACACACCCATACATACTTACAGTTTATAGGAGAATTCTTCGCCTATGCTATGAATCGAACAAAGTATCTATAGCGCGTTATCCAATACTTAGCAGGCATAAATGTAGACAGATTGAACTAAAGAACAACAACGATTTATAGTTTTAACCAGCGTACGGCAATTAGCAACAAGTTAAAAGCATACATTACACACTCACACACACAGACACACACACACACTCGTAGCAGCATGTTCATGGAAACCAGTGTTGGGCAATTGCACGGATTACAGCTATTTTTGCTGTGCTGGCAATGACGCCCATGCGGCAACTGTACCGCACTCACGAACCCAAACCCAAAAACACACACACACACACACACACACACACACAGAATCTCAGATATTTTCATTGGAGTTGGGGCGCATTGAGCTAAACAAATACGGAACAAACAATCTAAACAAGTTTAAACGACAACAACTTACCAAACGAAACGGTTAAGGAAATGGAAAAAGCAAATGCATAAGAAAACGTTACGAAACTTTGAATTTGAATTGAAATGAAATGAAAGTAACACAAATTGTAAAAACTGTGTCGCCCGCAAATGTGAATAAGTGAAGAAGCGAAAGACAAAAACAAAATGGAATGAAACAAAACTGTGCATAGCACACACAAATGTGAAGTGATTAGGGCAAAAGCAAAACAATGTTATGTGCATAAACAAAAAAAAAAAATGAATAAAAACAATATGAAAAGAAACAAAAAAGAAAGAAGTTAACTAAAATACAAACTAAAGTACATATGTGTGCGCAAAACAGATGAAAGGAGCACAAAAAGTGTACAATATCGAAAGATTTTATTTAATGATCGTTCTCTCTCTCTCTTTCTCTCTCTATCCCTCTCTCTTTTAAAGTCATTCGTCTTTTTTAATAATCCACAAAAAAAAAAACAGTAAATTTTGACTAAAAAGCAAACATAAACTTAATAATTGACAAAGGCAAAAACAAAAGAAATTTAACATACATATGTATGTATATGTAAATGCACATAGTACATAAAAGTACATATAAAATAAGTATAAATAGTATTCAATTAAAAAAAGAAAATAATGAAAAAGTAACAACCAAAAAGAAGAATTTAGCTTGATTGCTTTTGAAGAAAAGCGTTGCCTACTTGTCAGCGCATTCGCTTATTGCGTTTTGTTTCGTTTCATTTCGCTTCGTTTCGCTTCATTCCGTTTCGTTTCGCTTCGTATTTGCCGGCGCTTCGAGGGTGTGCCGTTAATTTGCTTATAGCTTACTCCGCTCGAAGCGGTATTTGTTATGTGTATGTATGTATGCTTCTTCCAGTAATATTATCTTTTATTCTTTTATTCAGTTAATTTTTACTTGTAACTTTCAACTTTTGACTAGCAATGCGATTGGAATATTTCTTCTGTTTTGATTGACAGCAACTAAAAAAAAAAGGAAGGAATTATCTAACCAAATTCTAACTACAGTATGAACAACTTGATATATACAAATGTGAGGTTCCATTGCGCACTAACACGTTTATCCAATTCACACACACACAGACACACAACCACACACACACACACACACACACATGCTTTGCTATTGCTTCAAATTAGCCAAATATGTTGGAAATTAATGAAATTGGGATAAAGATGCGCCTTGTTTTTTGTTTTGGCTCAACAAGAATGGAAACATTTATACAGAAACATTGTACACATACGTATATGTCTGTCGCTGTCTACACAGATTTCACAGATCAACAATATTCAGAACTAATACACGTGCTTTTAACACACTGCCTTTCCTCGACTAAACTGTAATGTTTGACATAGAAATGTAGAAGTTGTTTACGTACAACAACAATTAATACATAGAAGTACATATGTATGTACATCCAAACCAACAACAAGTTACATACTCGTACACACACGCATACACATCATAAATCCACGAAATTGTACAAATTTTGAGAACCTACTTAGCTACACTCTTGAATTGACCGAACCAACCCGAAGCAAATTATATAACAAAAAATAAACGAAAAATATGTAAAAAAAAAAAAGAATAACATTAGCGCTGAGCTCCAATAGTTGATTAAACTTACTGCAAAAGACTATTATTTGCATATTTTTGTGTGTTTATCGATTGTCCTTCAGTTGTTTCTTTTTTTTGATTTTCTTGGTAGTTTTCATTGTAATTCACGTATTTTTGACTGTGACTCGTTTTCGACACATTCGACAAGTTCGAATTGTGCTTGCAACGGCGTATAACAGTTTTAGCTACAGCTGCTGTTAGCATTATCGGTCACACCACCACATCTACCGTTAACTGTGCGCTGTCGTATAACAAATCATATTACGAAAGCAACCTAACCTAAAAGAAACAAACAAAAAAAGCACAGATATAATATATGCAAAAATATAGTTATATTATAGGGACCAGTTAAAGCGTTGCCTTTTCAATGAACACATCAAGTCAAAGTTCCAAATACCTTATTTCTATGCTTTTATAAGATGGGCTTTTTACGGGCACCACAGCCGATTCTTTCTGAATTATTCAATTCTTCATAGTATTCTCGCTTGTGTGTAATTCGGTTTCTGATCATAATTTCGCGATTATTCCAATTTGTATCTAATGTTAGCGCCTTTTGATTTTTAACGCTTTCGGCATTTCTAAGTACGTTATTGCGAAAGGCCATTTTGCTGATTTCTCCCCCACTTAACGAACGCTTGCCAATTGCCAATTGTTTACCGACTTGAATAAAGCTTCATTATTACACATTTTGTTGGCTGTTTGACAAATAATACAAAACCACGAAAAAGAGTTAATAATAAAGAACACATGCTAAACAAAAATTAACCGACATGCCAACTAATAACAGAAAATTAAGTTTGAAATTCCGTACAAAATGCATAAGTTAAAAACCAAACAAAAAAAACATAAAATATATATATATTTTAAATATATATACTGAGTGCACTGTTATAAATGAGGGGCGGGGCGAGATTAAAAAAAAAAAACAAAAAGAAATACGAACAAAACAAAAAACAAACTAACAGAATAAAAACAAATATTATTCAATACAACACAAAGGACGTTCTCAAGAGCGTACACAAATGAAGCTTACGCGATTTAAGAACATCAAATGCGACTAAAAAATAATAAAAGCGAATTGTAAAATTATAATAATAACAATGATAATTGAGTAATAATCATGAATAATAAACTTAAGTACTTTATGAATAATAAAAACAAACAAAATATAACATAAAAGTATAAATAAATAATTATCGAATAAAATGCAGAATGGAACTATTTCATATTTTAGCATAAATATTTTTTGTGCCGAGGTTACGTTTGAAGCAACACGCGCATCATTGCCATTAGACAGAATAAAATTAAATATATATACATATATATTTATATATATACATATATATATATATATATAGATACATATGTATATATATTAATATATATATATATATATATATATACAAATACATACACGCATATATACTGAATATGAATATGCCCAAAACTGAATATAAAGTAAAACTATTTATAACAAAATACTTATTGCATATTTTGTGCTGCTGAATGAGGTCACAACGCAACAAAACAAATTATAAATAAAACGTAATGAACTTGATAACAATAATGCAAATAAAATTCTAATTTATCTTAGAGCAATAATCGTCAGATGCATGCATACTTATCGTATAAGAAGTAGTAGTCTATATGTCGCTATGACTAATATTTTGAACCAGCACTGTGCGTCTGCTCTGTGCCCCACGCACTCACAGGCTCACGTGTATAACAGTTCATAGGACACACAGGTACAGTCGCAGAACAGTGCGCACAGTGCCGGCACAAAGTGTGCGAACAGGCTTGTGGGATTCTGCAGCAGAGGCGAAAATTTAAAATACAAAGCAAAATAAAATCTAAAAAAAAAAATACACCAAAAAATTGAAAAACGCAAAAAAAAAACATAACAAAAAGAACCCTCAAAAACAAACCAAGAATCTTTTTTTAGGTACACTTAAATCAAAGCGTGAAATATTATATTAGTTAATAAATAAATAAATGCTTTTTTGTCGAATCACTATAGAAAATTTAAATGAACAACAACTTTAGCTTTATACTCGTACATTTACATTTGTAATATATTACATAAGTCTAGTTAATTACATTAAATAAAAACTAATAATTATATAAAAGAAAAAAAAAAACAAAAACAATATAAGAATGAAAATCAAACGAAGCATAGCAAATTAATTCGAAGAAAATATAAATAAAAAAAAAGAAAAACAAAAAAAAGTGTAAAAACAAAAAGAAACATTTATATGTAATGCAGCCAGTTAATATGCATAGCTAAAAATAATAATAAAACAAAACAAAAAAAATAGCAAAAAAAAAACAATTGCAATTAGATATTCGATATATAAAAATTTTACATTTCTTCATATTTTTGTTATATTTGTGGTGTAATTATAATTATTATTGTAATTTAGTTACGAATATTTTGTGTTGCACACTAACACACAGACACACACACACACACACACAAACTCCGGACACACTCACATGCATACTCACACACATACACGCACACGCACACGCACACAGATTTCCAGCATCCGAATGCCCATGCCAAGCAGCCGAGAAATAATTTTAAGTACAGTTGAGTACATAAACTAATGAAAGCCAAGTCTTAAGAGCAAGAAGCTTAACAACCACACCAACAAGAAACACACAATTATGAAAGTTGCCATCCAGCGAAGTATTTGCAATTTACATACTACATTGAGACAGACATACATATGTACATGATATAAGTACATATGTTAGTATATTGAGCGAAAGCAGGAAGCATTCAATTTGAATAATACAGTTTAAATAATTGACAAACCGAACGAAAAGCAGCCACTTTCATTAATAAGAATATAAAAAAAAAACAGACTGAAAAAGATACTAAATAAAATGATAAAAAATTTATATGATAGTAAATGTAAAAATGCATCAAGCGAGTATTAAACAAGCTGCCTAACAAGTCCCTCTACTTACATAGCCACAAGCCTACACCCAGCCACACACACACACGCACACACACACATACACCCACAGCTACCTAGCAGCAACGGACAGTTTATTAAACCTTAATAAAATATTAAAGAATAATAATAACAATTAGCGCCACAAGATAAGCTTGTAAAAAAATAACAACAAAAAACGAAGAAAAAAAAAGAATATATATATATATATATATATATATATACATATATGACATAAACGACAAACAATAAGAAAAATGTATTTATATTTATACACAAAGCAAGCAAAAAACAATTTAAATATACATATAAAAGTCTTTTCTAAACACCAAATAAAAGCAAGAGAGTCACAGGCACCGTTAGCATATTTTTTTTATATACAAAATACAATTTAAGCAAAGTACATGAAGTAAATTATTAGTGAGAAACAACTGATGTCTTTGTAAAGACTTTATATATGCCTGCCATATGCCTACATCTGCCTAGCTGTCTGACTCTATTTAACACTAATTATTTTCTCTCGCTTGAGCACAAAAACACTCACACTCCCCCACTCCACACACACACTTACACTCCATCAACAAACAGGCAAAAAACAAACTCACATACTGACGCATGCAGAAATATACAGTGAGCGCTTCAACGCATGCGGCTAAGGCAAACGTTTTGAGAAGCGCATAGAGAGGTCGCTCGTTCATTTTGATGCGCATAATTTGGTGCATGTACGTCAGCATTGCTCTAGAGCTTTTTCTTTTATAGTTTAACTATTCACACACACTTATGAGGCGTTTGAGGCGGCTTTACTCTTTTCACATTTCCACACACTTGTCTCCAACTCTCCGCGATGGAGCGCAGTTTTTGAGCAACTCTATTTGGTAGCAACTTCCCCGGCTACAAATGAATAGTGGTTCAGATGACTGTACAAGCCCTCCTGAAAAAAAAAAAAAAAAAATACATAGAAAAAAAAAACGAAAAACAAAAACAGAACAAAACCAAAAACTAAACAAAATTGTTATACTGTGTAATATATACATATTTGTTATATACATATGTATTTGTGCAAACAAGTAAGCAGCTAAAATGTATGACACCCGCCACTTTTCTACTAAACAAATCGACTGTATATATAAGATAATATGTATGAGTATATTTATGTAGCAGTATAACAGTATGTGTTGTGCATTTGCTTACATAAACATGGACACACACACACACAATCACACCCAAACACACCCATTCTTCCACACAGGCCCAAACAAACACACACACACACACACACACACACATCTACATACGACTTGTACATACATAGGTCGATGCATTTTCTAGTAGATATTTTACTTTTTTATTTCAATTGTCATTGACATTCCTTCTATTAGCAATACTCTTATAAAATATAAATAAAAAAAAAACAAAACACAAAGAGCTGTCATACATCTAAATGTTTTCGCAATACCGAAAATGTTATGCATAATTATAAAAAAACAAATTTAAAAATAAACAAAAAACTATTGTTATCGATTTTTTTTAAATACTCGTAACTACAGAATCATTAAGTTTGAGCGCCATTTTTGATAATACAACTACAAAGCGAATGCGAAATATATATATGCATATATACATATATGATGTATATATATTTACATATATATTAATGTATATACATATATCAAATATGATGTAAAAGCAGTGCGACAACAATTTTGTATGTATTAATTTTTATTAATGAAAATACACACACACACACACACACACACAAGACGACAACAAGAACAAGAACAAGAACACAAACATAAACATAAATTGTTTTTATAAAAGTATATATATATATATATTAGATATATTATATAAAAATACAGAAAAAAAAAAACAACTTTAATAAATGTATTTAAAAATACGACAAAAAAAATAAGATACAAAAAACGCCTGAATTAGTTTGTTACGCAAACATAAAATTATAATTAACTAACTTCAATGTAAAACAAAAAAAAACATACCCAATAAACAAAACAAAACAAAAAATGAAGAAGAAACAGCAAAAAAACTGCACAATAACATCTTAATGTAAAAAATATTAATTAATTATAACTCGCAACGCAAAAACTGAACATACAAATTTAATATTAAATCCGAAAAGCGCTAAAACCCCAAGTGAAACATTTTTATTTTCATTATATATAAATAATTAATGCTTTTTTAGTTCTCAACAAGTTGCATAATTTACATTAATGTATAATTTTTAAAGGAAAACAGAAAACAAATATATGATAATAGTAAAATCCAATTTAATTAAAACGGCATACAACAAATATTGTAATGTAATAAAAAACAGAACAAAAAAAAAACAAAAAAAACAAAAACGAAAAACCAAATAATATATTAAATTAAAAGCGAAATTTTTTCACACTTTAGCTTAATAAATTGTAAAAAAAAATACAAAAAAAGAACAAAAACTGAAATAAAATGAGATTTAATTGAATTTGTTATGCAAATGAAAAAAATCCATTGTTTTCTAATAATATAGTTTTATCGATAGGTGGATTTATAAGGTATGAAGTAAGAGGCTCTAGCCAGGAGCTCCCGACTGGGGGATACCCTGAACTCTCTTCTACCAACATCAAATGCAGTTCGCGCTGCAGGCTCGTTTGCTTCAGCAGCAATATAAATAAATTAAAAACAAATTACAAACTAAAAAATACCATCGATATGACTCAAACTCGCAACAGACCCCGTTTCGTACCGCCTCCTCTACAGCCAAACCAACAACTGCACATACAATCTCATTATTTGGCCGTGATATTCCAAAAATCATCAAAAAGGTCGACTGTAGAATCGTTTTTTGGTCAACAACTTTTGTAAACCCATCAATTTTTAATTTGTTTGAATGCCAATTGATAGTAGGGATCCGTACGAGTTCAAAAAGGTATAACATTTCAAAATCTGAAAGTATTTACCCGAGATATTCAATAAAAATCATCTAAAAAGTTTTGATTTTCGAACTGACCCCGGATTTGAGAAAACACGTGATGTAACCCCTTGCCATTTTGTTGATTTGGATCCAAATTTACAATTTTATTTTTTTGATGCCAATCGATAGTACTGATCCTTACGAGTCCAAAATGGTATAAAATTCCCAAATCGGACATTATTTGGCCGAGATATTCCAAAAAATCATCAAAAAAGGTTGACTTTAAAAACGAATCGGTTTTTGGTCAACCACTTTTTTCACCCATCGATTTTTAAAATGTTTGAATGCAGATTGATAGTAGGGATCCCTACGAATTCAAAGAGCTAAAACTTTTCAAAATCTGAGAGTATCTACCCGAGATATTCAATAAAAATCATCAATAAAGTTTTGATTTTCGAACCGACCCCGAATTTGAGAAAACACGTGATGTAACCCCTTGCCATTTTGTTGATTTGGATCAAAATTTAGTATTTAATTTTTTTTATGCCAATCGATTGTACTGATCCTTACGAGTCCAAAATGGTATAAAATTCCCAGTTCGGACATTATTCGGCCGAGATATTCCAAAAAATCATCAAAAAAGGTTGACTTTACAAAAGAATCGGTTTTTGGTCGACCACTTTTTTTAACCCATCGATTTTTAAAATGTTTGAATGCAGATTGATAGTAGGGATCCCTACGAATTCTAAAAGGTATAACATTTCAAAAATCTGACAGTATTTACCCGAGATATTCAATAAAAATCATCAAAAAAGTTTTGATTTTCGAACCCACTCCGAATTTGAGAAAACACGTGATGTAACCCCTTGCCATTTTGTTGATTTGGGTCAAAATTTAGAAATTTATTTTTTTGATGCCAATCGATAGTACTGATCCTAACGAGTCCAAAATGGTATAAAATTCCCAAATCGGACATTATTTTGCCGAGATAATCCAACAAATCATCAAAAAAGGTTGACTTTACAAACGAATCTGTTTATGATAAAAATCAATAAAAATCATCAAAAAAGTTTTGACTTTCGAACCGATTCCGAATTTGAGAAAAAACGTGATGTAGCCCCTTGCCATTTTGTTGATTTGGGTCAAAATTTAGATTTTATGCCAATCGATAGTACTGATCCTAACGAGTCCAAAATGGTATAAAATTCCCAAATCGGACATTATTTGGCCGAGATATCCAAAAAAATCATCAAAAAAGGTTGACTTAACAAACGAATCGGTTTTTGGTCAACCATTTTTTTGGACTCATCGATTTTTAAAGTGTTTGAATGCAGATTGATAGTAGGAATCCCTACGATTTCAAAAAGGTATAACATTTCAAAATCTGACAGTATCTACCCGAGATAATCAATAAAAATCATCAAAAAAGTTTTGATATTCGAACCGACCCCGAATTTGAGAAAACACGTGATTTCCCTTTCCATTTTGTTGATTTGGGTCAAAATTAAGATTTTTATTTTTTTGATGCCAATCGATAGTACTGATCCTTACGAGTCCAAAATGGTATATAATTCCCAAATCGGACATTATTTGGCCGAGATATTCCAAAAAAGCATCAAAAAAGGTTGACTTTACAAACGAATCGGTTTTATTTGGCCGAGATATTCCAAAAAATCATCAAAAAAGGTTGACTTTACAAACGAATCGGTTTTATTTGGCCGAGATATTCCAAAAAATCATCAAAAAAGGTTGACTTTACAAACGAATCTGTTTTTGATCAACCTTTTTTTTTTGACCCATCGATTTTTGAAGTGTTTGAATGCAGATTGATAGTAGGGATCCCTACGAATTCAAAAAGGTATAACATTTCAAAATCTAAGAGTATTTACCCGAGATATTCAATAAAAATCATCAAAAAAGTTTTGATTTTCGAACCCACTCCGAATTTGAGAAAACACGTGATGTAACCCCTTGCCATTTTGTTGATTTGGGTCAAAATTTAGAAATTTATTTTTTTGATGCCAATCGATAGTACTGATCCTTACGAGTCCAAAATGGTATAAAATTGCCAAATCGGACATTATTTGGCCGAGATATTCCAAAAAATCATCAAAAAAGGTTGACTTTACAAACGAATCGGTTTTTGGGCGACCACTTTTTTTAACCCACTGATTTTTAAAATGTTTGAATGCAGATTGATAGTAGGGATCCCTACGAATTCAAAGAGGTATAACTTTTCAAAATCTGACAGTATTTACCCGAGATATTCAATAAAAATCATCAAAAAAGTTTTGATTTTCGAACCGACCCCGAATTTGAGAAAACACGTGATGTAACCCCTTGCCATTTTGTTGATTTGGGTCAAAATTTAGAATTATATTTTTTTTTATGCCAATCGATAGTACTGATCCTTACGAGTCCAAAATGGTAAACAAATAAAATTTGTAGTTCATCGAATTTGTAATGTTTAAGTTCCAATTGATAGTAGGGATCTGTACAAATTCAACAAGGTATAACATTCCGGTCCAGAAGTTATTTACCCTGATATTCAAAAAAAGTCACCAAACACGTTCTGATTTTCGATCCGACCTGATTTTTCTGAAAAATTGTGAAAAATGTTTCAGTTGCAGCTATATAAATCTTATTTTGTCTGTTAGGTTCGCT